CCGGCCTACTGGTTCGCGCACCCACGAAGGTGCATAGCATATAGTTGTAGATAGGGCTACCTGGGAGTCAGAGGGACCTGACCGCCAGCTAGGGGTGCGAGTTGTGATACCTTTGTGTGTGGACACTCTCGTTACTTGTGTATGTATGTGTGAGTTGTGAGTAGAGCATGGCAGCGATGTATGATGTATGGCGATACCGAGTCGCACGACAGCTGTCATGTGTATGCATGTTAGTGTAGTTGCAGATCGACATTGGTGTCGATTTGAGTTCAGACACGTTGGATTCGAGTGTGAGTCGGGTGACGTTGGGAGTCGGCTAACGTTGAGACGCGGAGCGTAGGCTAGGTCAACTTTACAGGTTTATATTCGTGGCGAACTCGAAGAACTGTCAGTTCTTCGAGTTGAGCCTTACGCGTCGGGGTTTTTCCCCTTAGCTTCGACTTTTAGTCTACCTACAAGTAGTGAGTTTGGCTCGACTCTTTGTGTATTTGTGTTTGACATCCCTTTTAGTTGTGATACCTTTGTGTGTGGACACTCTCGTTACTTGTGTATGTATGTGTGAGTTGTAAGTAGAGCATGGCAGCGATGTATGATGTATGGCGATGCCGAGTCGCACGACAATTTTTTCTTCTTCTTTTTTGCAAGAAAATGGTATTGTATTCCACAACAAATAGTAAATTAAAGATACTGCCGCATAACCTAGCAAAGATAAGCAAAGAAAAGATAAGCAAAAGCAAATTGGCAAAACTTATATTTTAAGGAGCTTTGATACCTAATAAGTGTCCTCAGCCTACCTACACCTGTTAAGTAAAAGTACCCGTCCGGAGCCACTGGTATTTCCAGGTAACCCCAATTGGGCTTCAAGTGAAGAAGATGTCATCATGGTCCTAGAGAGTGTCGAAGCTCTTGTCCGCCCTCTGGATTCAATGGGGATGGTGTTGTTCACACCACATCTTAGCATATGATGCACAAACCAGGTTGATCACTGCATCCCACAATTTGCGTTCCAAGAGGTCCACCAGTCAGCAAGTGTTGTGAAAAACCACCCGATTCCGTTGCAACCATATGGTCCACAACATGGTACTACGCCTCACAAACCACGTTGCCTGAAATTACTCCAGTGACGGTGGCAGGGGGTTGCCAATAATGCACTACTCCCAGGACGGTAAGAACCAAGGCTGAGGTGCCAAACTGGTGTGGGCCAGTCGGTGAAGAGCAGATGCTGCGAATTTCCAGGCTGGACGCGCCATCGCGCTCTCGTAAAAGCAGTGCACCACTGATTCCGGTAAGTTCGCAGTGAAACATGTGCACACGTCGGGGATGGCCGCGATGGCTCGATGATGCCATTGATTGACTGCTATTGCCTTGTGGAGTACCGTCCATAGAAATGCCGCTTCCGAGGTCTGGCTACAGTCCATACATCTCTCCAATCAGGAAGAAAGTTCAGCGGTAAAATACCTCCCCACTTTTTGCCCATGGATCTTTGAAGTTGAGTGCGCGGATGGAGCAAGGATCGTCCCAACTTGGCTGTGTAGGCATAAAGAGATGCCTTGGAAGTACACTTCCATCTGCCTGGATAGAAGACAAGTCTAGCTTTTGGCGCCAGGTAGAACAACCGGCTGGCCTCAATGCTGGGAATCATGCGCCTCCACGTTTGGACCAGTCGGTATCTAATTGGCAACTCCAGGGATGCCGAGAAGCTATGCAGCATGGAATACTGCATGTTCCGGGGCCATCATGTGGCGCTGTAGAATTGTGATGGAGTTTCGCCTGGTATGAGAGACTTCGTGATCCACTTGGTGGTTAAGGCAGTGAGCTTCTTATGAGGTTCGATGACCCCAAGTCCCCCAAGCTTCTTATAAGAGCAGTATTCCACCCAATTCACCCTGTCTCGTGTATTAGCCTCCGTACTCGCCCATAAAAAGTTTTGTATGGAGGCTCAGATGGTGTTGAGTATGGTTTTAGAACCACGCTAAAAACTCAAAAAGTACCATTTCGAAGATAATAAAACTGAATTGACTATGATAGTCTGTGCCGCCAAGTATAAGTGAATTGACGTTCAATAAGTAAGCTTCTAGTTTATTTTTGAAGCTAAGAATACATCGACATCTGCTATCTCCAAGGAAATCCTGAAGGGAGTTACGAGCATCTTGGACAACGATTGGGGCGGGGCGACTGAACATCCAAAAGAGTATAACTAGTGGGGAGGCGGCATGGAATCAAACCAACATAGCGCGCATTTCGCACGGTTGATGATCAAGCCAATCGCATCGCAAAAATCTTGGAGCATATGCGCCACGACTTGCAGGTTCCTTGGAGTGCCATGATACAAATAGATGATGTCGTTTGTAAAATGAGATAAGACTTGTTGCGTTGCTCTGCACCCTCCGGGCTGACTTCTCACTTAAGTTTACCTCAGATGGCTTTGCGGTAGTTCATCATGGTTCTAGAGGACTATGATTCCTCCTCATATCCATAACCCAAACAACCTCTCACACAATTCCTCAATGTATGACTCCAACTCACACACACATTGACACTTCAAGATACTAAAAATTGTCACTCTTTCATATATGAAACAAATCTCTACATATGAACTCTCCAAACCTGTTTGATTATATATACTACTTGGGAATTTTTCATAATAATGAATGGCAATTCTTATCTAACTTACTTTTACAAAGATAAATCATAGTAAGTTTGACTAGTTATCAATATGTGGCAACATGCTATTGGTCTGCTAAACCTTCTAGATGTTTACTAATCCATAGATTGAGGTGACGACATGACATTTGTATCTTTCCAATTTTTAGAACCTTCTAGATGTTTACTAATCCATAGATTGAGGTGACGACATGCCATTTGTGTCTTTCCAACTTTTAGAACCTCCACTTGCCACTAACTCAACATTAGACTTAGTCTAACCATTGGAGTATTTTTTACTTAGTCAAAGCAATCAAAACTAAACATAAAGTCAAAAGTCTTTTATCTTGGAATCTAGACATTTGCACAAGACAAAATAGAATATCTCACTCAAATTTTCTAGAACTTCTTTAGTTATTTTGCCAAGTATAGACATTATAGCTAAACATAGTTATAACTTGATAAATTTAGTTATAACTAGCTAGACTTAGTCATAACTATCATCACCATGATTAACTCATTGGCTACTTCTAGTTTTATTTCACATAAACAACATGTGGTCTTTTAGCTTCATCCAGAAGCAGAATGCCACGGAGCCTGCATGTGGAAAGGGAATGGTTCGAAACTCTAGCCAAAGCCTCCGCTACAATTAGAAATAGGAACGGAGATAATGAGCAGTCCTGAAGGACCCCTCCTCGGATTGGGAATTCTGAGGTGATCATCTTGTTGATAGAAACCGTTGCTCGGTCATCCTGAAGAAGAAGCTGGAGCATTTGGATGAAAGCTCGAGACATCTGATTTTTTTCATCACCCTAAATAGAGAGCTATAGTTAACTGAATCATATACCCTAGAGAAGTCGAGTTTAAGCATAATCAACGGCTGTTTGGATTCTCTTGCCCATGCGATAGTCTTGTGTTGGACGGGCATCACATCGAGATTGTACCGTGAAGGGAGGAAGGTCGCCTGTCCCTGGTGAATAACTTATGGCAGCTTAATCCGTTTGCCTTATTGAATTAAGTTTATGGTCGGTTTGTGACCCCTATATGCCTTATTCGACATCCTTGGGGGCGGCTATACTAGACTTGAACCAGAGACTTTGTACGTGAAGTAAATCATCGCACCTTGGCTATAAGGCTTGGAGACGCAATTGGCTAACCTTGGCTACAATCTTGTAGAACGTGTTAAGTAGAGTAATTGGCCGCCAGTGCTGCATGAACTCAAGGTTTCCGTTCTTCGGTAGGAATGAATCGTGGTCTGGTCAGACCACAATTCATTCCCGGAGGAAGAGCTTTGGTAGGAATGAATCGCGGTCTAGTCAGACCACAATTCATTCCCAGAGGAAGAGTGTCGGAGCGTATGGCGGTCGAGAGCATTGTCATGAAGTCATCTTGGATCACATCCCAAAATTTTACGTAGAATTCAGTGAGAACTCCGTCGGGACCGGGAGTCTTGCTGGATGACATCTCCTTGAGGGCCTTGAAGACTTCAGATGATGTAGATTCCCGACCCAATTCATCAAGAATGGCCGGGGGGAATCGCGCTGTGAACGTAGCGGGGATGATTCCAAGGAGCTCTAATTCGGCGTGCTGTTGGTGTATCGATGGTTCCACCGTAGCGTACAAGGTTATGTAGTACGTCAACGCCGTTGCCTCAATGACATCTTGGTCGGTAACTCGAGTGATAGAGACATCGTGGAGGATCGTGATCTGTGCCGAGTGCGTTCTTTCCCTCATCGGTCAAAAACATTCTTTCGTAACTTGGTCCCCATGGAATCTCCAACGTATTCTGGATCTAGCCTTGTGACTCACAATTTTTTGCTCCTAAACGTCCGCTATGCATGTCTGAATTGCTCCACGTCAATTCATGAGAATGGGATTATTGGGATCCTGTTAGGCTTGAGCTGTCGCCTGTTTGAGTCGCCAAGATTTCTTAATCTGCTCTATAGGCCGCGGCCCGTTTCATGCAAAAACTTCAGTAGAATCGTATCACCCGTTGGAGCTTTGCAAAAAAACTAGAGCAACAGTGTTCGGCTTGCCAGATCTATTGTATTTCTGTTGCTTTTGCCTCTAGCCATAGAGCATATATCTTCGAATGCGTCTTTCGAGGAGGCTAATCCGCCCGCTTCACCGTCATATGGAGGGGGTGGTGATTGGACCTGGTGAAGTTACTCTTAATGCTATATTGGAGTAATGTCTGGTCCGGTGAGGATAATGAAGATAAAAAAAAAAGATATATGCGACCCTGTCTCGCCAAGGCTACCCATGACGTCGATTATTGTTCCATAAATAACGCAAACTTCTTGCAGATCGATTGTTGTCGATTGAGAGCCGTTTTCATGGCATTCAACAGAAGTCTCTCGCGGTTTGAGATCATCGATGCATCGTGGCAAGATTTGTGTGACCATGTTTCCATGTTATAGTCACTGATAAGCATCCACTGGTAGTGCTGAGGAAGATCATGCGCAAGTGCATTCCAAAAGTAGCACCTCACGGGTGATCCATTCGGGGCGTATATGTTAGAAATGCCGATCTTCTCCTCGAAGGCCATTTAGTATCACCCACTGGACACGATTGTCAAAGAGGGATCATGAAGCACTCACGTTCCTTGCCCATTTGGGGTGTATAAGGGTCATCATCCCCCCCACACCCGACTCTCGGGTTGTGTATGTCATGCCCGTAGCCCACAAAGGCTTCTAAATTAAGCCGATGGATCCGCGCCAAAGACGCTGCTCAACTTGGTGAAAGAGCTGTCCACGAAGTTTATGTTCTTGCAACAGGATTATGTCAATTGCTGGGCTACAGGCTTGAATGTATGCTTGGAGGACGTCCGCGGCCACTCCTTTGTTAAGGCCCTCGACGTTGAGTGATAGAATTTGTAGTTTCATGGACCTCTTGGAGGAGATTCGACGTCTCCGTCACGCTAGGGCCCTGCCGTCTAAAATTCCATAGATTGTATGAGGGAGGCTTGTTTGTTGGTGGAGTAGTTTTCAGTCGAGCAGTACTCTTAAGGTCTCGTACTGACAAAGGATTGGGCGTCGTTGACATTGAACTAGATTGCTCCTCCCCAACTAGTTCGATTGGATTGGAGTTCCGAGTGCCGTTTCTGGGTGTTGTGGCTGGCTTGTCTTCATGTTCTTCAGGAGGAAACTGGGACGTATGTTCGTCAGCGTGGAAGATGTCGGCGTGGAAGGCAGGTTTGATGCCGCATCCCTGAACAAATCGGAGTCGGCGGGACCACTTGCGGAAGGTGCACCGGGTTCAGCCTCACGCAAGGAGAAAGCTGTGAGGGGATTGGGGATGCCATTCCTGGTCACTGGATTTAAAGAACCGGCTCGCTCGGATGAAGTCGATGGTTGTCTGGCCGATAGTTGAGGATGATGTGCCTGTTCCGTAGCTAGATTCCGAATGATACCATGTAGACCCGTTCCAGATGGTATGATCAATGACTTGGTGGAGTTAGAAGAGGTCGTGATGACCGGTAGAACAGGATGATTCCTTCTCCTGAATCTACATCCATACCGTGCTACTCACCACACGCTCCGTCTGCTGCAGAGGAGTCTGAAGTAACTAGGTGGATCCTTGGCGGATCGACTTGTCGTGCGTCCGTGCAATATGAAATTAGGGTACTAGGGACCTTCTCAAAGCCATTCCATTTCCATTCCTGTTTCATTCACAATTTTCCAGTGGAATAATGGTTGGTGAAGCGATCCGTTTGGTCATGTGGATCATCGAGATCGAACCAAGGTATACTGAATTCTATCATTATGGTATCTCTAGTGTGGTCAGTATGATCCGAGCTCAGCACGGCTATAAATGACGGTAGAGCACTTGGAACAGTCTCCACGGATTGGACGTGCGGGCGCGCTACGGGCTGGCGCTCGACAGATGAACGAACATTCCACCTTACTTGCTGGTCGAGTCCGTACTAGTGCTGGAGTTGTCACGATGACTTGATGCAACACTACTTCCTCCGACGGGCTGGGTTTGATTACAGGTGCCCCAGGCGGATATTTGACGAACTGAATGGCTAGTGACGGTGCTGTCATCAGGTGGGAATTAAAGACGAGACCGGAGGTGGAACCGAAGGGATAGGAGTCGTGCCCGGAATTGAAAGAACTGGAGCAGTCGGATTGATAGTGAAGAACGTTGGCCGGCGTCTGTTGCGAGGACGAGGACATCGACGTTGTGGCGGTGGTGGGACAGTTAGAATGCGCCTGGAGCGTCTTGCGCCAATGGCTGCAGGTGCATCTGCCCTTGCGGCTGTGTCCTTACTTGGACTTGTGGACGATTTGCCTCGCGGGCTTTGAAGCATTGAGCAGCGTAGTGGTTGTGGTTTCCACAAATGAAGCAAAACAAATCCAGAGCCTCGTATTGGACTAGGATTGTGGCGCTATCTCCAGACGCGTTGTAGCCCATGACGGTAGAAATCCATCCTTGAGTGGGGTCGACTCCAACATAGAAGCGGGGTAGAGAATCGTAGCAAGATCCATCGTGAACGGCGAGAATCGGGCCGACTTGCTCTGCCACTTTGTTTGTGAGTTTCTGGTATTTCATTGGGAGTTCTGGAAAGTATATCCACATCGGCCACTAAATGTCTAGGGAGAGCTTGAGATTAAAACCTTGCTTCCATTGCTGATATATCACCAGGCCCCCGTTGAATTGGTGAAAAGCTCGAATTAGGAGTCGTAAAGTAGTTTTCTAGACATCCGTCCCAACATATATGAATTGAGGGTTAACGCGAGTATGAAATGTCACTTTGCCAGGAGTCGCTAGCTCAACAAGTGCCATTCCCTGAAGTTTGCCCTCAACAACACAAGCAATCACCATGTGAGTAGCAAGAATGGGATTTTCATTCGCCACTACGGCCTAGGATTCTATGTCTAGGTTGAATGATGAGACATCCCGAACGAGAATTCCTTGATGATTGCAAAGAGTTCCCCTTGGAAGCGATTCTCCATTCGTACATTGAAATGAATTTACTGTTGCTCGGTCGAAGGATGGGCTGCCTAACACCGTTCAAAAAATGGCCATGTCCACCTCGGACCAAGTTGCATGCGTTCTCCGCACATCTTGCGTCTGACATTCTGCCCTTGATTGGATTTCCTTGTAGCTGGGCTTGGGGACTGCCATTGCAAACTAATCCTAACCTTATCCTAAATAATATGTGATCAAGTTTGTTAAAACTCCTCTCTAACTAAGCGTACGGTCATGGCGATCACAAATCTAGAGCGTGTGTGGCAACAACATACTAGAGTGAGCAAAAGAAGAAGGCGTCACCTTTGCAGCGCTGCGGCTTCGTCCGCCATCGTTCTCCGATGTCAAGTTCCTGCTTTCCCTTTTCGACTCCGGTGCCTGACAATCCAATGGCGGCTGAAGCTGCCATAGCTGCCATTAGATCATTGTGAGCTCTGTGCATGTTTGCTGCATGAATTGGAGGCGCTCAGCTCCGCCCCCGACCCGCCATCGCTCCCTCCCATTTCGAGGCGGTTTTCCAACCGAGAGCGTTTGAATGGTCAAGGTATGTATCTTTGGTACCTTTGGATGCAGATTACGCTGAATTTGCACTATATTTTATGCCATATTTTTCAATTTGGCAAACACAAACTTATAAAGCAACTCAACTTAGCTAAGTTTGATAATACATGAATTGTGGAGTTGATCGGGTGATAATAAGACAATGTTTGCCATCAAGCTAAGACTCATTGATCAGCATTGATTCCTTGATCCATCTTGGACTAAGGGCAAGGACTTTATGAGCCACCATAACATAATTTAATCTCTAGAATTTCTCAAGGTCATGTCAAAGGATTGTAACAAATATGTTACACCAAAGAAACTATTTAGAGAACTACCGACATATAACACAAGTGTGGAAAACTCAATCTTGACTTGTAACATAGGTTGAATTTTTGAACTGCTAATAGAACTAATCAATAAGTTGATCATGGTTATCTTAGTTATAATTAAGTCTAGCTAGTTATGACTAAGTTTAACTATAATATCTATATTTGGCAAAATTAAGTAGAGTATCTTTATAAAATTTAAATGAGCATTTTTATTTTGTCTTCTATCAAAGTCTAGATTGCAATGAGATAATACTCTAACTACATGTTAGTTTTGATTAATTTGACTAAATAAAAAAGTTAGACTAAAACATTTGAGTTAAACATTAGTTAGACTAAGTCTAAAGTTGACTTAGTAGCAAATGTAATTTCTAGAACGGTGGAGTTTTTAAATGATATATTTCAATTTGGCCAAGGACAAGAAAAATTCATAAATGTTTAGGTATGCAAATGTCATGTTTCCACGTATTGAAAATTAGTCAAATATACCTAGCTCATTTTGATAAAGTAAATAGGATGATAAATACCATTTAATACTATGATAACTTCTGAAAAATTATAAATAGAGAGTTAGAGAATAGACTCAGATAAGTTTTGAGAATTTATTGTATGAGGATTTGATTCATCAATATAAATTTGAGTTACACTATCTCTTTTGGAGTGTCAACGAATGTTTCCATTTGCGTTATGAGTGGACAGTTTGTGTAAGAATATGTCTGGTATATGGATACATTGAAGAAGATTCACCTTCTAGAAACATGATAAATTACCAAAAAGACATCTAAGTCAAACCTAAGTGACTGTCAGATCCAGATCACAAACCTGATAGCAGTTGAGGTGTCTAATGCACATACATGTGATTTATCAAGTACTGTGATAATAGTAAAATCACAATGACTAATAACATTTGACTACTTCAATTTTGCACATTAATCAAATTACAAAAACTAAGTTTGAACTTTAATTCGAACTTTAACAAATTATCAAATGATTTTATTTGTTTGAAATGATCTATTTTTAAGTGCTTATATCATGATGATTAAATGTCATACTTATAAAGCCAATAAAATAATGATTAAAAAGATGAAATATTACACAATCAATTTATTAAAGAAGCAAACATATTGTGAAAATTTACATCAATGAAAACAATTATAATTTTCAAGAGAATGTTATTTAAAATTGGACTTCACTTATCAAAATTTTTTTTTTCAATTTTTTATGTTTGTGTTTTGATTTTGATATTAAATAATTTCTAGAAAAATAAATATCAATTTCTTTTCTAAAATTAGTGTGTAATTATCATTCGAAGCTATATAATAATAAATTTTAGATTATAAAATAAGAATAATCAATTTTTCTCATTTTTATTTTTTTTAAGTTTGATTATATGTCTTAGATTGTGTGCAATTTATAGCATTGATCATATAAGATGATAGCTCAATGTTTGAAATCTATTGTGCTTTTTATTTAAAAGTATTTTGCATTACAATAATTGTAAGATTTCAGAAGATGATATCTATGAATATAAATCATAGCTGATTTTTAACATGATAAATTTTATGATTATAAGCACAAAAATTGGCATAAGATACGATTTAAGAAACGATTTGTGATTTTTTAGATTTATATATATTTTTTAATTTACTAATTTTTTCAATGTAATAAACAATGTTTGATAGAGAGTTTATCAATATTTTTAGTGAAAAACTTGACTTCAATCATTTATGATGATTGAAATTTGGATTGTGAGTATGATACTATTTAGTATAAATATTTGATGTTAGTGTCTCGAATACAAGGTTAAATTTAAGCTAAAGAAATGAATAAATACCTGTTGTAAGGGTGATAAATTGTTAAAGCTTCTCTTCATAGTAGCATTTACGGAACCAGGGTTGGCATATCACTCATTGAGATTTTGTGTTGATATATATGGATGTTGAAATATTTCTATCTTATTTTGTAAAGTGTCCGTAAAAGATAAGAAAAATGTAAAGTAACTATTGAGATTAAACTTTTTATTTCTCAATACACTCAAAAATGATATCTGATTCAAATATTGTCTTGCAACCTAAGCAAATATTTCTTTTCACATCAAAATTTGTCATTTTGTCTTCTCTTGTATTACAGAATTGTGGATGTTTGAGAGAGAAGGAAAAATCTATTTGTGTGTACCGCTCCGTGCGGCGGCGAATCCAACTAATTATTCTTTTGATTGAACTAGCATTAAATTAGCGAAATTCATGATCATTAGAACTATTTCACCCTATTTTCTAATAATAATACATGTCATGTTTTCTTGTTACTTGAACGTGGTTCTTGTTCAGTTGCACTGCATGAAGTAGACACACCGTATCTAATCCAAAGTGATCTTCGAATGTTTCAGAAATTTCTTTGGAGATTTAGGGTTCTCAAAATTTTCAAGTTTCAGGAAGTTGAATACAATTTAGATGCATAAATGATGCTAAGAGTACAATCATGAGTTGCAGCTTCGTTAATTCTGATACATGTTGAGGACATTCCAGAAATAAATTATCAACAGGTAGTACCTATTTAGCGTCAGGTTCTACCACCGAAGCCTACTTTGAAAGACCAACATAATTAGTGACTCAAACGGAATGATCTCATCCTCTGAATTTCTTCCGAATTTCCTAATTGTTTTCATCTGGCAAGTGCTAAAGCTAGATTCGAGTTCGGTGTGACAGGATGGAAAATATGGGAAGCATGGGGATATCCAGAGAAACGCAAAAATCTTCAGATTTCCAAAATTGGAAGATGCCATGCTGTCCGCTGAGGCTTGTGGTTGGTGAAAGAGCAGCTGCGGATAGATTAAGAATTTAATCTTCTTTCTTTTTTGTGCTCAATTGACTCTTTTCTTTCGCATGCTCTACTACGACTCGCTTACATGCGTTAAGATCATTCGATCCTTGTATGATCTCTCCTTCTTGTTGGCTTGATTTCATTGGCTTGGCTGGACCAATTGTCCCTATCGTTTTCCCCGCGAGCAGCACTCACCCGCTCTATCTTCTACATACTTAAAGCTGGCAATTTAAGGTCCGTCCCGAATCCTGCTTTTTCTTTGTGAATATTATAGAGTCGCAACTGTTTACTTTCTCTAACTCGGAAAGGGTCAATTCGTGGTTATCTGAATTAAATGTACCGCAACTGTGCGCATCGGCGTTGTAATTTTCTGATGAATGCTGACTCGAGAACTGTATACCACTTCGGCGCCTCGTGCTGATGTTCTTCCATTAAATCCTGGAAGTATCGAGTTTCGTGAACCTTGACCTTTTAAAACAGGCAGTATCAGCCATACACTTGACACGCTAGGGTTTTTTAACATGACTCTGTCCTTAGTGGCAAGCAGTTATGAGTTTGCCTAAACTGGGAAGCTAATTTGCACAGGTGAAACTCTTCCAGATTCTCAGATAGCCAATTTCACAATTTCCTGTGATGCGTAAACAACAGCTTCCATTCGAGAATATGTTTCAGTCAAGCCCCTCTGGACACTTGACCTCTTATGCAGGAGTAGACATTTTCCATCAGAAACATCAACTCCAAGTGTGTGCTTTATTCGAACAAGGACGAACATTACATTGAATTTTTGTTGTCTTTTCTGCGTGACTCCCCCGTGGTTTGAACAACAAGTCGTTTCATCCCCATTCGCCGTCAGGATGGGCTGGCTCCCTGGCCTTTTTGCTCGTCCGTGCTTTCTCTTTTTTTGGCTAAACCGTCGTTCCTTTCCTGCTAAGTCCTTTTGTGTTTGAAGCAATAATACAAATTACAGACCTTTTTCTGGAATAATTTGAGCCACGTAACCACACTAAAAGCCAAAGTTATTACCTTTAAGCTAAAGGCGATCCACACGATCTTAATCTTATATTATCTCAATTTCACGCATAGATGACCTCTTTTAACTTGTTTTTTCAACATTTTTCATCTCTTCTATGATCTGCTTGTTACTTACATGAATTCGTTTAACAAGATCCTCAAGATACATTGTCGTTTAGTTCTGTCATTTTGGCAAACTCTCCACTCAATCCACCTCCCTCTAAGCCAAGATAATACAGTTCGATAAAAGTGGATGGATCCAGCAGCCAAGATCCAGGCAGTTTAAATTTCAAGTATTGTGTCCTTAGGCTTAGATTTTATTGCTGACTTGATTGTTATCACCTCAAAGCATGTCATCTGATGTTCACAACATGTTGGAAAGCTCTTTCTAATGTGGAGTCATGTGCTTAAAACTGTTTTGTTTACAACGAGAATGTGAGGAACTCCTGAGCCACATTAGAACATAGAACTAGAGTAGATATTTGAAACGAGAACAAGAGCCAAAATATAATGAGACACAGAACAAGGCATTGCAGACACTCCTCATAATTGATAGAACTACAAGCTTTGATTACTTGCAAATAAGTCTTCTCTTTATTCAAAGAATCGGCTGTGTGAAAGGTACGAATTGGAAGCTGGCAAATTGGCCCCACTCAAGGTTCCAGGCTTTCACAGATACAACAATTTCAGCCCCCTCTATCCGAGCAGAGACTAACAGCTGGGATCTGGTCATAAACACATTTATTTCCTGGGTTTTGTACACATACAAGATTATACTCGGATCTACAGAAATAAACTGTAACCATGCCGAAGGGTGGATGAATCTTAACTTGTCAGTGAGTAGTTGTTCTTCTGTTTTTGTAAACCTTCACCTCGGCAGCTACAAACGCAATTACATGCTCAGTACAAATATCTCCTTTCTACACCCACTCGATTTATCCGCCACTGAGCATGACGGCTTGAGTGAAATGACAGTAAGTGACGGCAGTCGCCAGGAAGCAATAATATTTAAAAAGATGAATCGAGGAGTGATTAAGAGACTCCAGTTAACCTTTTCACAATTCCTGCAGTGTATTTTCCTTGATGTACTGCGAGAGCCAGCTCGGTCTCACTTGGAACTCTCGATCCATCTCCTGCAAATGTCCCAGCACCATAAGGTGATCCACCACGGATTTCATCCAGTTTAAACATACCCGCTCCAAAGGTGTAACCGATTGGCACAAACAGCATGCCGTGATGAGCTAATTGCGTGACAGCGGTCCAACTGCGAACAACGAAATACAGTGCAGACAACTTAAGAACTGGTATAACTTAAAAATGAATGCTTCTGATCCAAACCAATTTGGACTCCGAATTCTGCATACTTGACACTGCTTTGAAAAGGAAACCTAAAGTACTCACGCGGTGGTCTCTTGTCCCCCTCCTTGAGTTCCGGTACTGACAAAAAATCCAGCAGGCTTTCCTGCTAGTTGCTGACCTCTCCAAAGCTGTCCAGTTGTATCAAAAAACGCTTTCATTTGTGCTGCCATGGCACCATATCGGGTTGGAAAACCGAAAAGGATCGCATCAGCCTGAGGTAGCTCTGTGGCAGAAATGGTGGGGATGCTTGTGTCCTTTGGAGGTGCTTTCATCTGCTCCAATATCTCGGTATTTAGAGTCTCGGGTACCTGAAATATGTGACCCTCTACACCCTCAACACTGTCCACACCTTCCTTGACCTTTTTGGCCAAGCTCAGCACATGCCCATACATAGAGTAGAACCTGTACAGCAAATACAGGGAATAATAAGCTTTACTGTGGATAAAGCATCATAAGCTACACAGTATTATTGTAGAGCTCAGCCGTTGCAGAAATCAATGCAAAGTTTCGCACAACAATTTTAACATCAACATGATCAGAAACTTCTTCTGAATATGATTGTCATGTCGGTTAAGTCGTCAACGCTACCTATGTGAAAAACCGGAACTTCAACTCTACCCTAAAACGGCTTTTCCCGTCTCCGGTTTTCCAACACCATGCTTGCACTATACGTACTCTTCTATGACATTCTCTGAAGATTAGATATTTGGGGTGTAGTAGATGCTGTGGAGCTCCATATTATATCTGAAAGAAAGGTCCTCAGCACTACTAGTGTGTTTCAATTCCTCGATGAGATTACTCCTACACCTACGTCTAGGTCAGTCTCTATCATATTATTCTCGCCCCCTGACCCTTCCATGTACACACGGAATCACGAGACCCAGAGACCCACAAATGCGCGAAGCTTTGATTGCAGAGTACATGGCTGAATTCATGATAGAAGGATCGTGTCGTTTAATGTTCTCCTATATCTAGGAGGAAGACCACCAGTTTTGGGAGTTCTGTCTATCACGTTTCGATCCGAGATGCTGCATGGGATGTCCACAAAGAACACAGAAGCATTTCACATCGTCTGCAACTACACATGTGAACACACTAAGCCCAGAAAGCATTCAACGCCTATTGAAGCAGGCATGCCATCTCCCATGCTCACTTGTGTCGAGGTCCATCTCACTGTCAGAACTACCACTAAAAAGTAATGCTAATTCAACAGATGCTGCTGTAAGACGGGAAGAAGGAAAGCAAAAGGGTGGGGTAGAGGAAAGAGTTGGGTCGCGGCGGGTTTTAACTAGTTGAATGATATGATTCAATTAACTTATGGAATGACATTCAATGTCGTGCTTCGCCTTTCCCATGAGAAGGATTCTCAAACTGTACCATGTCGGTCCAGAGCGAAAATGTCAGCCCATGAGAACGTGACTCTGTAGAAAGCTCATGTGCGCCGTGAGACTGTCCACTTACACTATGAAAATCTTCAGCTTCTCCGGAGTCGCCTTAGGAATGGGGGTCGAACCTTCAGTGGTAGATGAAGGGGCAGCATCTGCAGGCTCTGTCATGACCTCTTCATGTACTGTTTGTTCCTCATTCTCACCCACCAGCTTCTCATTATCATCTCCGGCGGAGGGATCGACGTCCCTCTTCTTCTTTGAAACCAACATTTTCCCAGGAACACATCCTCCTCCCTTGCCCATTTCTCTCCAGTAAATTTCGTCTCCCTCTCGGTTCCCTCGCTTCACAAATTTGCAGATTCAAGCGCGTCCAGCAGGGCTTATATACTTTTGTCAGTAAAATTTTCACTCTGTTCCACGGCCATCAAATCCAGAGACAAACCATCAATCGCCTGAATTGTGGATCTCTCATCAGCAGCTTCACCTCAATCCACACTCAGCTCCACAATCTCCCGAGTAAGAGAAACACCAGAAAAAAAGTTCTAGCACTCCTTATGCTGAGAAAAATAAAACGGAATAAAGATAAAAGCCCGAGACTTTGAAGTGTTCATGTACAGTGTCGAAACGAGGCGGTCTCGAAAACCCCTAGGCACAAAAAATCCACAGTCCCAAATACGATGCCGCCGATAATGTCGAACGCGCCAATTGGATTCCGAGCGATCTCGCTCGCCTCGTTCACTTGTATGGGAGAAAAATCTGAGATGCGTTCTCCTCAGCGCTTACCTGACACAATCACCGACGCTCGCCTCTCCTGCTTGCCTGCCTGTCTCTGGGCTTTGACAGGATGCAATCTCACATACGAGTTCAGTACAAACGAGTCCAGTCCAAGAGGGCCGTCACGGCCGGAAAAGGTGGTCAAGGGGACTAGACTGGACAGTAGGAAGAAAGTTCAGCGGTGAGCCAGCCGGACCGACCGACCGATAGACAAACCAACACATGTGAAACGGAGAGAAGAAGAGGAATGGAGTGCGAACATGAGGCGCAGATAGGCTGAGAGAACCTTACAAAATTAGACGCGACCTCCCCTCCTCTCCTCTTCTCTTCTCTCACCGGTGTCTCAAGCACGAAAGCTCTGCAGCTGTATTCCTATTTATCAATCCTGTCTACATGAATGAACGCGAAAATAATAATCCGGCTATAATTGCTGACTCCCGACAATTGCAACGTACTCAATGATCCAGGCATGAAAACCGCTGCACGCGCATCACTGTTTGGTTTATATCTTATTGTTATTGTGTGTTTAGAAGCAGTCACAGTTCCAGCAAGAAGATATCTTGAGAGTAAACCTCGAAGAAGATTTAAGATACAAACAAGATTGGATGTTCTGATTATGTACGTAAGAAACCTGGAATGAAAAGCTTGCACCTCGGTTTACCGTCAACATAAACTAGTCTGCGAAATCTTGGAATATTTACGTGTCCCTGTCCTCAATTACTCGTTTATTACCCTTGCCATTGTGAAGATAGCCACTCTAATGATTTCAATTTTCAAATCTTGCAAAACAGATATGTATCGTTCCAAAAAAGAGTGCTGCTTTTATCAATGGAATAGATGTAAGAAAATTTTCACAAACTTTTTATCTTAGAAAAAACACAATCAAATCATAATGAACTTGTACAGAGTATATCTACTAAAACTAGATATTAATATTTTGAAAATTCAATAATGATCTTTAGCTAAAAAAATGTACCTTCACATTCATAGTATTGGATTTTCCACATAATACAATCAGGATTTCATCATGTATATATAGCTCTTATGCTTATTTTTTTAGGTAAATAAATTAGTTATTGTATATTGTCTGATATTTCATGTGTAGTAGATCTTTAAATTGATGAAAAATTTCTTGAAAATAATTTCTTTTTAAATTTTACATCAAATAATGATGTAGAGTTGTGTAGAATAAAAGTTTTTCATTCTTTCAGACTCTGAAAAAATAAATAAATCTATGTACAAGAATTTTTGCATATTGACATTATAGATTGATGAAATGTACAATGAATATTCTATAAGTAGATATAAGATTAATAAGTGATAGTTTTTAACAAATTTAATAAACTTTTTTTAATCAAAAACTGAAAAATAACGTTTAAAATTTAAAAAAATTAATTGTATATAAAATAGTGCAACACATGCATTAAAATTATTATGATATGTTATACACATCTGAAAAGATGAGTAGTTTCAATACATCTACATAAATAGGACAAATATTTTCATCCTGATTTTCAAATCTAAAATGCAAGTGGCTACAAATTGTATCCATAAACTGTTTATGCATGATGTGTTATTAATTATCTTGAAACATATTTTAATTTATTGATAAATTTTACATTAACATAGTATATCATCAATTATCATGTGAAAATAAAATCACACTATCATAATGAAATGACAGTGGGATTCAAGTAGTATTTCACATTTTCTTAACAAAATAAAATAAAATTTTGCATTTCATAATGTTTGTGTTATTAGTTTCAATAACTTTCTTATATAATAATAATTCAGCAAAACAAGTTCATAAAACATGCTTATATAAATTAGAATCAAAATTTGACTCTAATTTTGCTTAAGTAAATGAATAACTTGCACAAAAATAACATTTGCAATCAAAGCGTCATTCAGTTTGAAAGTGACAAACACTCTCAAACATGGTTTTTGATGATTATGATGTGAACAATTTAAGTTCAAATTTGCCATGATAATCATTTTTCAAGTTGACATTGTGCTCCAAGTAAAGATTCAAGTGTATAATTCAATTTTAGCAAAATAATTCAATCTTGTGTGTTAAAGCAAACACTTTGACGTTTTTTGTATGATCACTTAGAATATATTCAACAGTAAGAATATAATCAAAGCAGATAGATTGAGATATATAAAAAACATTGTGTATGTGTTCATGATGAATACATTTTTGAATATTTATTATAAATTGTTATTATCACATATATACAGAGTTGATAAGTACTTATTTTTTATCAGCTTGATAACAATTCTGTTTTCTTATAACATTGATACAATTCCTCTTTAAATTGTGTTTGTTGATATTTTTTATTACACAAAAGATAATTTAAGTTTTTTATTGATATCAAATATTTCAAACTTTCGTGAATTTTGATCAATTATTTCAAATTTTAGATTCTGAATATGAAAAATTTTCAATTTTTATTCATCTTCAAGGATATTGATAAATTTTAACTATAACTATGGATTTGCATTAATGATATTTTGATAATAAAATGTATTTTTTGGTAAAAAAAATGATAATAAATCTTAAATCATGATTGAACAATGATCATATCGAGTTCCTATATCAATCATGTAAAATGCAAATATTTTTAAATATTTCTTTGAAATTTTCAACTAATGGCATTTAAATTTGGATTATATACCTTAATTTTAGCATTATAAAAAATAAGTTTATTGATTTCATTTATAAAATAATAATTTTTATCCTAATAATAATGATGTTAAATAATAAGTATATTTTTCATGATATCTGCTTCAAGATTTGTTTCATCAATCAATAATAAAAGTATTGATTAGAATAAATAAATGAAACTTTTAGATCATGATAATTTATTTAATTGTATATAATTCTACAAATTAAAAGAAAAAAATTTATTGAATATTTGATGATTTAAAGCTTAGATTGATGATTAAAAATTTGCACATCACAAAAATAAAATTATTGTTTTTTCAACATTTCATCATAAAATTTTTTGGCATAATTCAAATTGAAATATATTTTAAATTATAATCATTGAAAATCTGCTCCTTATTATGTGTTATTAAAGTGAGCATTAAAACATATCAAATAAACATATTTATATTTTTGTAGTTTATGTAGATTAATATTAGTTTGATTTTGAGTTTTGATGTTATGTATAATATAGAGCTTCTCAAACTTTCATTGATGACTTTAGAATTTTTATCATTAAAGATTTTTTTAATCTTACGTACATAGTTAGCATTGGCAAATCATTTTGTGTTTGCGTTTTGCATGTGTAATGTGTGTGTCAACTCTATTACCAAATATTTGTACATTTATATTTATACTCTACTTGAGCTTGACTTAATTAAGTGACTTGTAGCATCAGGAAATACTCATTCATCAACTCTATTACCAGTTGTTGCATGTGTATGTGATAAATATATGTATACTCTACTACTAATGGTTTGTTGTATATGTGCATGTATCAAAATATGCAACAATTGGTGTTATAGTTGATAAATGAGTATCTCCTTATGCTAATAGTCGCTTAATTCAATCAAGCTTAAGCAAGATGCTCAACAGAAAATTAACATTGGGCACAAAAAATCTTCGCATTACTGGTAATGAGGTTATGGCTTTGTTGACATGCAAGCTATTTTGAAATCTTGATGTGATTTTTTGTGAAAGTTTACATCCAAGCTATGGGATTTACAATCTCAACTGTATTTAATATATGCACTTTCAAATGCTTGTTGATGATCAATAATTTCTTGATAAAATTAATGTCAGATAATTGTTATGTTTTGTGACTTTTGAAATTGATTAAAACATATATCCTAAGAGTTTTTAAGAAATTGATATATTGGAATATGCATAAAATGCAAATTCCAATATATCAATTTCAAGCTAACTTTAATGAAATTTTTTGGTAATAAATCAAAAGTGATTTTAAAATATAATTAAGGTTCAAACTCAACTAGTAATCAAACTTTGTACACTAGTTAATGGGTTTGAATTTTAGTAACATCATCAAATACCGCATAGCAGAGAAAAATGGTATATCAACAATTCAGTAAATAATCAAATCATCTATCCAGAGCCAAACATTTGAACATTATTCAGATAAAAAAATAATACTGAAAAAAATCTAAATAGAGCATTTGGTGCATTGATAAATATTATTTTTTAAGAAATTTCAAGTAGCATACTTTGCAAATTTTGCATAAAATGCAAAAATAGAGGTTACTATTAATTAAAATTTTGCACATATAACATTTACTTCTAAAGAAATTTAAGCTAGGTTTTTTTGATAATTTTATACAAAATAATTAAGTAGATTGTGAAGATGACAAGTTTCAAAAAATGAATTTAGTTGATGATGATTATGTGTTAAGTCAAGTTTGGATAAATAATCAGGTTGATGAAGCTTGTGAATGTGTCAATATATTAAAATTTAAAATAAATTTTTGAATGAAAAACTATTATTTATATGAAATTTAGCTCCTTTGAGATGAACCATATATTTTTCTTGTTTGGATATATGTTTGTGAGATGTTACTCTGATACTTTTCAAACAGCAAAAATAAATATTCATAAATGTAATTAAAACAAAAATTAATCATTACAAAGTTAATGATGTGTTATAAGTAGAAGTTTCAATACACATGAAAAATAACAAAATGGATCCAAGACTTGAAAAAGTAAAATCTTAATTGGTCAAAATCAAAACACTATAAAAAAAATAAAGATCAATCAAGAATATTTATAACTTGTTTATCATTAGATTGGCACATCATTTTAAGATATAAAATATGTATCTATTCAAAAATTCTTGAAAATCATGAAATTAGAATAAAATAATAATAGCAATGAGTTGTATCTAGGAGAAGTAATAATAAGTATGTATTACATCTTGCAACAAATCAAATAATACATTGAGCCAAATCACTACAACATAAAATAACAAACTATAAAACATTTATTCTTTGATAAATAATTTGAATTAGTGAAAATTGACATTGAAAGAACCCTCATCCAGATCAACCAGCACGCATGACAGTCACAACACCGACATAACGTGGTTCACCTTTCACAGGCTACGTCCACGGGCAAGAGCAGAACTTCACTAAAGCACGGATGATTACACAGCCTCCATAGCCAAGCGCTACTCCAACTCCTTCACTCTCTCGATGTTATCCTGAACTGTACGCAGAGAGTCACCTTATCTCTTCTATACAAGAAGAGATAAGGTGCACATAATACTTAACCTAACCTAACCTAACACAACCACAGTCACCTTTCTAATCATGGTTACCACTAACTTGAATTAATCCAAGATAGAGTTAACCTAACAGACATGAGTCAATTAACCTTATGCATTGATCAAAGTTATTTCTTTGAAAACTTTTATATGACACTCTGATAATTTGAAACTTTTGCATCAAGAGTTAAGCATAACTTATTACAAAAAAAAATATTTTTTTAGAAAAAAATATATATTTTATAATATCCTAAATCTGATTCTAAATGAAATGTATGTTTTTTTATTAAAAATATTTTAGATCCAATCATATTTTTTTTAAACCTTGGAGAGCTCATACTTTTCAAGATATAAGTTAGCAAAGGATTATTAGTAGGCTCAATAAGCAATTTTGTTAAATCAAATTTGCTTAATCTTGGTCAATATAGCTAGAGTTTCTAGCATAATATAAGTGAGACAATAAAAAATCTAAATCCATATATTAAAGTTTTTTTTGAAAAAAATTTTATGTTTTATGAATATTATTTGAAATTAAAAAAAAATGAAAAACTAAATTCATAAAATAGAATAAGTAATATTTGAGTTTGATAGATGTTTGTTGATTATTTGAAAATAAATATTACAGATGTTTTTCATTCATTTGATCTTGAATTTGTTTCATAAAAAATAAAAATATATACTGAAGTTTGAAAATGTGGAGATTAAAAAAAGGGGTGAAAATATTAATATTTAACTCAAAAAGATAAAATTTGATGTAATAAATGATGTACTGCAAGAAATCTGCAATTTTTGTTTGCTACTTGGCATTTATTTGTGTTTTTGTGTGTTTTAATGTAAAAGTTTCTTTTTTGTAAAAATCTAAAATTAAATTCATATTAAATTTTAAGTATTTTAGCAATTTTCTCAGATTTTAAATCATGAGAAATGAGTTGTGCATTTTATTTATTCAGACATTCTACAAACGATATTTGATTTTGAAAAACCAATTAAACATTATCTGTTTGAGTACACATGATACTAACTAAAATTGCAAAAACGTAACTATTAAAATAGCTTAGATGTAGTTTACATGCATATAAATTAGTAATAAAACTTTAAGATAAATTGTTCGAATAAAGGTTTTGAAGACAATGAAAATATAATTACTGATCACAACAACATATTTTTCAAGAATTCAATTTCAAACTTCATAATTTAAATTTCAAATATTAGAGCTTTATTTTAAATATTTTTATATGTTATTGCAATGGATGTTGTTTTGATAGTGATTAGTAATACTAAATTTCATTTCAAAAAATCATTGATTTATTTAAATCTGAAAATTAAATATGTTTGATTCAACGATACAAAAATCACTTTGTGCATTGTTATGTGTAGTCATAAAGACTGGGAGAGCATATTTTGATAATTACACATTCGATTTTTATGATTATACTTTATCATGAGAAATATAAATTAAATCAAGCTAAAAGTCTTGATTTCATTTCAAAAAAATCAGTTTGAATTATATATATTTTTAACTTTCAGGATCAAAAACATGTCTGAAGATGAATTGAAAAATTTATGTTACATTTACAAAAAATCTGGAAAAAATTAAATAATAAAAATAAAATTTTTATTTTAAAAATATTTTTCATTATGCATTCCTGTGTTATTAAGAAAGTTTCATACATACTTGAATTTCATTTGTGTAACAGAAAAAATTTCAATACAACTCTGTAAATATTTAAGATCATAGTGATGCTTTTGATTATTTGATATTTTTAATTTAAACCTTGATTTATTAAAAGTCAAATACTTTGTTCATGAATAGGTTTATACAAAAGACATTGATATCATCATTTCTTATATTTTTCATCTGATATGGCATGAGTTTAAATTTGTAATTGTTCATATTTACACCATGTTGAAGTTAAAACAAGCTATATATCTAAAGATATTTAAGTATAAGTTTAAATTTCAAGATTAAGAGAACAGTATATGTTTAAAATTTTTAAAAAAATATAGAAAAATTGTTGTTTGAAAAGAAATCCAAAATCTGATTTTCTTTAGCCAATGTATCTCAAAAGTGTATTATTAGATGAGATATTTTCTTCATAATGTATCATGTTTAGCCAATATTTTTAAATTTTTTGTATCTTAGAATTGTATACTTCACTATGAATTATGTTTAGGCCATGAATTTAAAGAATTTGGTGCTAAATAGAATGATTTCCTCAACAATAAACTATGAAGGTCGGAATATGTATCATGCAACTTATCATAGAATTCAGATGATAAACGGAGTTTAAATAGTGTTTTTTTATGCAATTGTAATATTAGGTATTTGTTTAATAGATTTTTTATACTGAGTGGTTTATCATGATGAATGATCAACCTTTAAGATCCAAATGTCTAATGGAATCAAACATACATTGATGCGCTTAAAATCTATAGTTGATTTGATATCTCTTTAATAATTGTAGATTCAGAAAAGTTTGAATGAAGTTCTTAACAAGTATGACTTGAATTAATATAAATGATAAAAAAATGTATAAGATTACAAGCATTACATGGTAGAGTTTAATATGGTATGCGATGACATGAATTTAGTTAGATTTTGTTAGTCTAGGAATGAGACTCTTCTCATGTCACCTCTAGGTTGAAAATGTAAATTTTAGTCAATAGTTGGTAGCATTCAGTATGGACTAAACACAAATTGTATCTAATCCATGTGTTGACATGAAGACTGTGAAGAATAAAACATTAGTGTCATTGTTTTAATATTCCACGTGTATTAGAGTTCACTTTGGCAAAGGAACAATCAGATGCCAATAGATGCAAAAAAACAATAAAACTTGTATGCTTGAAGTTTCATATAACAAACTTCAAAATAGTTAAGATGGTGAAGCACATGGACATCATCTTATTAGTAACTCAGTTTCAGATAGGAAATTGAAACTGCAAAATCATTGATGTGGTTCTTTATAAGTACCAGAAGTAAGACAAATATTAAGTTTGAATGCTCGAACAAGCTTGAAGAGATTAATTTTGCACATATTTCAAATTACTTTTTTTTTGTGAGATTAATATTTATGATCAAATTTTGTTTTGGGAAGTTTGTGCGCACAATGTTCAGATGTAAGTAGTGTATGTTTTGCCACGAGTTTAAATTTGTTGAATTTGCCAATTTTTCCAGATAAACGTTATTATCGCGATTGAACTGTAGAATTCTCTTACAGTTCTCTTTTTCCTACAGTTTTGTCTTTTAGTTCTAGATTTTGTCCTCTGTTTTGATGTGCTGCGTGTGGGATTTCGTATGAAGGAGATTTCCTCTATTCTGGATAGATTATAATTTTTCTATTCACACGATGCAGCTCACTTTTGTGATTTTCAACTGTGTAAGTGTATATGCATTTGAGAGTTTTTCGGCTACGCATGTAGCTATTTGGTTGTTAGGGAATGTTCGTCACGATTACTTTAAGACATATCCTTTTCTAACTTTGGAGGTAATTGGTTGTTGTACAGAATGAATGAATTGTACCCTTTTCAGTCCATATGAAGGGATAGAACATTCGTATAAGTACAATCTATTTCGTTTTTCTCTTTTCGTGTTTTCCGATTACTACCTCAAAACTTATCAATCATTCCTACTTTGATATTTTCTTGTCTCTTCGGTACAATCTTTAACTTTCCTCCTCTCCTATACTTCAAGTTACCCTCTGATAAAATATATGACCTTGGAACATTTTTTCACGCATTACCGACAGGAATTGTCGTCCATTCCATCCAATAATTTCACAGTACAGTATAATCACAAAAACACAATCTTATTTCGATCTGACTCTCTGATAACCTCAAATCACTAGTCTCACGCGAGTGACATGACTGCCCTTCAAAATCCAAACCACATGGATTCTTGAAGATAAGATGGTAACAACGTTGTGAAGCCGCCTCAGATTTAGAAGACAATCTGAGCTAGAAAGAACTACATGATATAGGAAGGCACCCTGTAGAAAACTGACAGACTCGCTCATCACGACTTCCACATAGGTCACCACAAAAAGCATTAGGAAGAAACAGCGGGGAATAATCTCGCCATGCTACAGAGAATATGATGAAGGGGATAGGGTCCTTGTACAATTTAGAAAACAAATTTCAAGAAAATACAACAAATATCACTTCGACCACGGCACAAACATCAACGGGGACATGGCTGGCAGAAGTGGACTACGTTCTAGTGGATCTCCTGTTAACCGCCCCTCATCTACATAGTACCTACCTATCATGTAGTGGGGGCATGTCTCATACACCAGCTCAATGACTCAGTGACGCCAGCTCAAATCAGTGACTGCCCAACCCATGTCATCGAAATGTCGGAAACGCTACACAGAGAAGAGCTAAAAGACACAAACATATGAGAACCTGATATTTCCGGTGTAGGATAAAGCTATTGAGAAAGAGCATTGGAATAGAAGAGTTAAAACAATTTATACCAAGGGGAAGAACCCTGTATTCACCGGGCTCAACAAGACTGCAGGAAAGTCTTCCAGACTCTACCCGAGACGCAGGTAACGCAAGTATCGGGAACACCGAAAACATCTACTCCTGACCGTCGAAAGGGAGAAATCCACTCACGTTAGGAACCAGATCTGTGGCCCTTCGTAATACAAGACTCCTTCTCTAAAACAGGGATGAATGATTGATGAAGTATGGAGGACGATCCATTCCAACCAAGAGTAGGTTCTCACTCACATGATAATTCCAAACTTGAATTCGGCAAGAAAAAATCCCTGTATTAAGGACGAGGTCCGTTGTGGTCGTCGTACCGTTTAAGTACTTTCCACCCTAGACGACAATGGACATAGACCTATTCCCGAGAATCATGTGAGTGAACGATTCATATTAGTGTTAAGGCACAAGTACTCCGGCAACGCATTCACGGAAGCGTTATAATGTCTCGTGAGAAGCTCTACTGATGAAAATCTTTCTATGGCCCTAGACTTGGCTCAGAAGGGCTCAAGAGCTACCCACTCCTCCGCTCATCGCGTCCCGACTAAAGAAAGCTCCGAGGTGAAAAATTTTCAAGTAAAATTTTAATACAAAAATGAATCATTCCTCGTCGGCAATGCTTCCTTTCTCACTAACGTAGATACCATCCAAAAACTTTCGGATATCCTTCTTCTTGACGTGACATTTCTGCGCACAGGATTGAAAAAACGGTGTTAGTGACACAACTCACTCAAATTTCAGCAGAGAACACTTGGCACATAGGGAATTGATTTGAACTGTCGAGATCGAGAGAAATACCTGGTTGATAAGAGCGCAGGAGCGAGAAACCAGCTCGATATCATTTCCTTCAAGGACAAGCTCGTCCTTGACCTTCTCAGACCTCGTGACGGTGACATCATCCAACATCTCGACTCTCCTGACCTGATTTAGAAAACCACAATCACGCAACGATGAGCAACAAGAACTTCACCACGACTCCAACGAAAGAGTTCGAACGCCATTGGTTAGGGCAAAATACAGTACCTTCTTCTCTCCCAAAAAGTTTCGGATCTCAATGCTGTCCTTCTCGTTGGAGATACTTGCGTTGATGGGAAAATGGGCGTACACAAATCTCATCTTGTATCTATAACCCTTCGTCACACCGGTAATAAGATTGTTGATGTGCGAAACGGCCGTTCGGATGGCGGCAGTGGTCTTCCTGGACCCAAACCAAGCATCAACTTTCAGCTTCTTGTCCTCGCCATCCTGAATCATCTGAAAGTCCAGATTCAGATGCTTGAAATCTCTGGTCAGAACTCCGCGCGGACCTTTTACGCGAATCTGCTTCGCCTTTATCTCAAACTTGACATCCTTCGGGATGTCCATAGTCTGAGATGACAAAATCACCTTCATGGTTGCAAAATCACCTGAGACCTGCTTCTAGTGACAGCAACGCTCCAATCCGTCAGCTTCGACTGCCCAATTCTACTGGCAGCAACGCTCCTCGCCCAAAAAGACCATTCCCGGTGTGAGAGAAACGATAAAAGGTCGAGCGACTCAGTTTAGGGCTCGAAATTAGGGTTTCGATGTGAGGCTTCGCCACCGAGGTCAATATCGAATGGCGTAATTTCTATTTGTCCTTTGTGGTGGGCCCACGATCTTCGATCGGGCCGTCGATACTGCAGCACGGGGTTAGAAAACCCACGAGTGTTCAACCCGTGTTCAACCCGGTATATAAGCGACGTTAGGTCCCTTGCGAAGGTCTCAGACGTCATGTAAGTACTATCCCAGAGGATTCGAAGCTTTTAGCACTCCAGCCCTTCTAACTGTGGCGTGCTCTCAACATTCAGCTGCAAAATGATCTTGAAAATGCCAAATTCCTATCGAAAGTAGCTCCGCTAAGTTCAACGAATATGAGCGATGACGATGCGTAAGTGGCGACTTTCAACCTCGTTTGTTTCATTCAAACGGATGCGAGGACTAGAAACCTTCTTACTTCTATCTTAGTGTGTTCACTTGGGCACTGTACCCAATTATCGAATCAGTGAAGTGTATCTCCCTTTGAATCAGGTGTAATTTGGTATATTTAGCGCGCATCAAGCTGTGTCTTGTCATTTCCTCGTGTTTTCTGTGCATCTTCTCTATTTTCAGTGTTGCTGTTATTGAGATATTTTCTTCTCTCATTTACTTGAGGCCCGGTCTTTTACATCTAAGCCTCGGGGCTGCATCATCTTGTGATATGCACACACACACGCAACACATCTCTTGCCGTTGCACTAAACGGCAAGGGTCAGGGACTATCGTAAAAAACAACACATTCGTCACTTCAGAGCTTCTATGATCCTTCTTAACTCGACAATGAAGTGGATTTACAACACAAGGTAAAAGACTTCGAATTACAAAACAAACCATCTGCACAACGCAATGTTGCTGCAATATGTGACGAACTTCTCACCTACATCAGTAGCTTGATTTGTTATGCAACATAGTAAAATGTTTGTCATGTAATTTGAAACATTTTGTAGGAAATATTTGACAATCAATTTTACATCTTCGGGCCGGCAGAAGGAATATCATAGAAGAGATCCTAAATCCCGCTTATGGTCCGGAGCAATTTGCCTTATTCATCTCTAATACAGAAACATGTAATTCGATGAGCCGCAAAAGGGTGTTGTCTTTGATTCTTTCCCTTCGATATTCTCACATTAAGAGGACACGAATCGGCAAAACTGCGCTGCAGGGGTTTCCCTCAACTCAGGCCCCTCTTAAGATCCGACCTAAATTCGCAGCGAAAACTAAACTTCTCCACTAACTTGGAAGGGGTCGCCCACGCCTCCCAAGATACAACAGACTAGACCTTTAGCGGTTCTTTAGCAAATGCGAGTTTTTTGGTGTTCTCCATCAATATCTGCAGAGTCACGCGCAGTGCACCACTCAGCACGATATCAAGAGTTTCTGAACATTTCCTGACTACATCAATTCCAAGGAAATAAGAGTCGATGGCAAGCTGAAGTACTCAATATGAACCAGTAGCTCAGATTCCATCTCCCTGTCTAAAAGAGCTGAACAAAAGACATCACAACAAGAAAAGCAATGCGACTTGTTAGCGCTATAGCAAGTATTCAGGACAGCAAAAGTAGGACACCTCATTTCAACTAAGAGAAGACTTACCTCGCGAAGAAACTGAGTAACAGCCTTTGCACCCTCAGAAGCTAGATTCATGACTTTCTCGAACACATCCAATGGGACTTTTGCATCCATCTGTTTAACAACCATCGTTAGTTAAAGGACAACCAACGACAAGTTTAGCCCTTATAGGGATTCCAGCAGCCAAGGATAATGCATGTTTTCAAAGCCAGAACAAGATTACTCCTAGAACTTACGACTAATCGAGATGAGGCGAGGATAAGTGGCACATAATCGAGTCCACAATAAGACGTCTACGATGTGAGTGCAAAGAAAACGCAGAGATGCGGCAAGGTTTGAGTGTACCAGGGATGTTCAGTGTTTGATGATATACGAACATCCAGGGGAAGACTAATGGACAACACACTAATAAGTGGGACCCCATGTCTTGAAGTGGTTCTACAATCAGCGAATAAAGATTTGCACCTGAAGCAGGGTCACTTTATCCAGTTTTGAAAATAGCGCAACCGTGAGATCTGGACCTCCTCCACTGTCCTCCAGGTAGTTTAAATCTTCAAAACATAGCACCCCACATCATATTTTTCAGGCGTCGAAGCATGCACACAAACATTAATCACCTGAGGCCGAGGCTTGACACCAAGGAATAAATGCGAAGTAGTCTTGACTAAAAGTCAAACCTCAACTTGACATTAGATATTGGGATGTCCAAAAAGCTTGCATCAGAATCCGCATATAGCTGCGACACCGATAAGAGAAAGAGTGGCCTCTGCATCCTTACTGCTCAGGATGTATAAACGACATAGACATTCAAACATCAAGGATATACCCAACAGGAAAGGAGAATGGAAGAAAAGATTCAAAATCAAACACGAAAAACATCTGAAGAGCAATCCATTAGTTCCTGTCTACGTGGTTTTAAATAATCAAACAAGTTGTGTCGAATATGACACTCCCTAACAGAGATGTCTGGATGAACAACCTAAAAGTGGGGTGGAATTGAGATAGCCAGCTGAGCAAGAAGCGACTAGATCCCGCATTGGTATTCCTGCGTCTGCAAGAGCCAACGCTGCGGCATTGATGCAGCATGCTCGAGTTCCTAGCAGCAAAGAGCGAGCGCCTGCGTGTTAGACAACCTTCTATATACAACTCGTTAGTATGTTCTCGTTAAGCATATTTTATCACAGCACCGTAGCGAAGCAGTGTTAGAAATAACATACTCGCAAGAGATAACCTATGATATCATATTTTTCGGTAGGAGTGCTCTCCATAAACGAAGTTCGTTTCAATGTTGTATGTCAATTAACAGATTCTTCACTAGCATATCCAGCTGAAAGGGCTGTGAAAACAGGTGCACAACGACCAGTTACGATAATCGATTTACCTCCATCAGCTTGTAGAACCTGAACGAAAATATCAATCTGCGAAAAAGAACCACACCTTTTTTATCCACTAATTGTGAAGAAGTGACAGTTGGTGCATTCCAAGAGTATGAATCGAATCAAGAATAAGAGAAGTGCATCTAAGAGAGTACCGTGAACCTTCAGTCACCTAGTATTTCCTACTGCCTTACTTACAGGGGTACTATACACGCGTAAAATACTGAAACTAGGTCGGAAGCGTCAGCAGAATGCAGCACCTGAGAACGAGGTAAAAGGTTGGTCAGAATAGCGGCCTCCATTGTCTGTCGGATGACTAAAGAAAGTTCTGTTCCTCGTCTGTCCAGCAAACAAACATACTCAATCAACATTCCTTATGAGCTTGAACAAAAAAATTTGCACCCTTAAATTACTACAGTAATGAATTCAATACATAGAGTTGAATGCCAAACTGGAGGGAAGAGAAAGAAAGTCAACAGCACTGTTTCATTGATGGTTAACATAGTTGTACACGTTCTCCGGCATGTATCCTGTCTCTCCTGACCAAATTTATTGACATTCGACGGACTTATTCATACCTATCTCCCTTCCCTCTCCGCCTACGATCACCTGTGCTGAAAGTAGCCATGCTATATTCACAACGAACCTACGGCAACAAAGCAGAGAACCCAACCCCATTCTTTCAGAAAGAAATTTGCCTTTGTGAGACAAGTACAGAGAAGTAATCATTACATGTGTCAGTTAACAACAGATGCGGAATGTTTGAAGCAAATTGCTCTAATCCTCTATTAAAACCACGAAAAATATTCAGCAAGACCGAGAACAAGTACTCATTACGAGCGGTTGGGGAGCCCATGACATTTTTTTTTAACCATAGAATGTACAATTAACACATTTTTATTGCAGACAGTGCTTCTAGAGAGAATGTCAAATTTTCCCAGAGTTGAAAACACTTTCTGCGACTAGAAAACTGAGAAAAAATCCGTTACATATATAAACGAAATTTGAAAATATGGTCAACCAGTTAGGATAGATGCAACCTTACAAGAAGATTTCCGCAATATTTACCTATACATGAGAACAAAATATAGAATCTAAGTCATACCAGTGCATGGTCAAGCTGCTGCTGACTTCGATTTTGTACCTACAAAATCCAAATCAGTCACATCAGGAAAGACATGATCTTCACAGCTCATAAACGACTGAAATTTCTGCAGTTCTATAAAAGGTGCTCCCAAATACATCGGCAGCTTTACTGAAATTACCTCGCGGGGCCCATAAACCACAGCTATAACTTTAGTATTACCCATCTCGAATGTAGCAGACCTGTAATTGCAAATTCAAAAACAACATATGAGTTGACATAATGTAGAACACAATGTTTAATCAGATACCTACACTGACGGAAACGCTCTAGGATTTTGATGGAAGGTGTAACAGTGATAAATTCGAAAAACGTCCAAAATCAGAGCAACGTCCGCAAACCACTGAATTGCAGTCATCAAACGCACCCGTCTGCATTGTCCAGAACTCCAATTTCCGCATGCAGCTGCCTCAACTGTGCACTTCCACCGACCAAAGTAAAGTTGAATAGACAGATAAAGTGGAATGTGATTGCTACTCCATCAAAACTAGAGATGCACAGCTCATCACCCGGAACTACGCTACATATCAAATTCTTGATACTCACCTCAAAAGGACGACGTCCATCAAGGCGCAAGCCTTCCGGACTGATGAAATCCATCGCCGCAGGCTTCTTAAGTCTACCGAAGGGAACCTATTGCTCTGATTGACAATATGAAGCTGAAGGGCAGCAAATTGAAAGCATGGAATCTGCAAACAAAAATCCTCGTCTCAGAGGTGCGGGGAAGTTGCGGACTGCTCTCTAAACCCTTTTTCCTGTTTCTTCCGGTAAACTACACGGTATTTGCGACTGCAGTAGGATTTCGACAGTGCTGAATTCATTACTGCTAAGGACCTTCACGCAGTCAGTTTTATGTTATAGCTTTAGAGGGTTTGGAAACTGCCCCTTCGCTCCTATCCGTATATTTACCATACTTCTATAATATAAAGAGCTGTCCCGGCCAATAAAATGTTCCAAATTTAAAGTCACTTTGTCACTCTTTTATCTCCCAAAAATGAAAGATTTCTTATGGTTGAAATGAGACTGTAAGTGTCCATATATCCTAAGGCTCAATTCAAATTACATTAATTGCTTCAGAACTATTTTGGAAAAATCAATACATATATATAGTTCATATCATCATTCGATGAATTCTATTTATGATATTTAATTATAATTTACATTATAAAATTGTGATAACATGAATCTACCATATTGATAATTCCAAAACTGTACTTTAATATGTTTAATTATAATATGTACCCTCATGATCTAGAATACGACACATCATGAGGGGTTCAGGATACCATATCATTAGGCAAATTAGCAACTACAAGAAATTAACCTAATTTTAATACATTTGATCACACGATTATCATAGTATTTTATATAAACACCAATTTTTTTTTTGAATACTTCGATATGCACACATCAGACTGGAATTGATATTCACCAGATATAATACAATGTGAATTTCTCATATCTCATAATGCAATGTACAAATTTATAAATTGTAAATGATATGATTATGAATATATTTGATATATAAAGATATAAAAAAATCATTGATGTGTAAACATTATAGAAATGTTACTACATTTGTTGACTACGAATTTTACCCAATTTTTGAATACTAGCATCAAATGTTATAATCTGAAATTTTCTAATTGTATAAATTATATCAAATAATGGATATAACTTAAAAAAATCCAATTTAAATCAAATATTTCATTTACATGATTCAAGAGATTTTGAAAGTTTTGAAAAAACAGAATCTGCAATATAATGAAACTTAATGTTATAATTAAAGACTTGGATTTATACAATAACAATAATTTAGATAATAATTAATCAGATTTGTTGGATTCTTAATCTGCTTAATTCGGTTTTATTCCACTTTATTCAAGACATCATCAATATATGTCCATCATGAATTAAGTACTATATTAAGTGTTTAGTTATAAACATCGTTCTTGTAAATCAAATTACAAAAACAATTTATGATTATTCTGCATCATTCACTTAACCAATTTCATAATATATATACATAATTTTCTAAAAATTTGTATAAAACTTAAATTTTAATGATTTTTTTTTAGTTTGACAATCTTGCTATAATATTGAAAATTCCTTTTAATACTGAAGATTGATACATCAGACTATTCATATAGTTAAATTTGACTCAGTTAATTTTTTACATCAATTATGTGTACAAGAAATATCAGTATTATTTTAAATTTTAAAAAAATTGTTTAAAATTTCAAATTGATTTTTTAAAATTTTTTTTATATCTCATATGGGGTTTTTTCTTTAGTTAAACTTGTTCATGAATTGCTGTTTTAAAATATATGTGGATAAAAAATTTTATTTTCATTTAGATGTGAATTTCAATCATATTAATTAAATTTATTTTTAAACTTAATATTGTTGATACACATTAAAATTTATTTTTTGCTTGTGAACTCAATAAATTTATAATTTAAAATATTATATGTATACTAAAATAAAATGTGTATAATTATGGAACATAATAATTTTTATTGATAGATTATTATAAAAATAAAAATATAAATTTTTCGATTTCATTCATGAAATTTTTGTTGTATATACAATTAAAAAAATTTGCAAACCTCTAAATTTTAAATTTAGTAGAAAAATTTTTATGGACGCACACACACAAACACATCAAACCTATATGGTAAACAGGTGCATGCTATTTACAACTATTTATATTGAAAGTATATACTATTTTGTTTCATAAAGAGTTTTGGTGGTCCTATCTATCTACCTCTTTAAACACAATATATTGGATACCTATGATGGTGACGACAAATGCTTGCATGTTATGTTCGACCAGGGGTGAGCTTTTTTATATGGGATCAAGATTATAAGGTTTAGGTATTACCTGGATCTTAAATCTAAATATTGTTAAACTTTTTATTGACATGAGTTTACTCATAAAAATGTTCAAGTGGTTGATTGATCCAACTATTGGTAAATTACAGATTTCAATGTGACAACATTATTCATATATCTGATATTTAGCAGTTCAATAATAATTTTATATTCTGATGTTTGATATGAAAATATTGGTTATATAATATGATTATTGATATAATAATAAATTATTTTTTGATGATGCATATATATATATATATATATATATATTAAATGAAAGGTTAAAGATCATAATTTATACATAATTCTGTTAAAGACTTTAGTAATCATAACTGATAAAATATTTATACATGATATAATCTGAAAAATAAAAATGTGAATTTTTAATACAATATATAAACATATTATTTTTCTAAAAAAATTAATGCAATATTTGGCTATTTTTTAATACTGATATTTTATTTAAATATATATTATATCTAGAGGTTTAGATTAAATAGGTACATCAATATTATCATGTTTTTATGAGTTTAATGCATTCATTTTTACAAAGAATCATTATATAAATTGAATCATATTTTATATATGTGTTTGCAGATTATATATTAATAGAATACATCATATCACTATTCATACTTTTATAAATTATAATTTTAAAAAATATATTAAGCATTTTAATCAAGATTCATTGTAAGACTTAATATTTGTAATAGAGTTCAAAGACTTGAACATATTTTTCAAAACAAGATAATCATTTTGAGATTGTATGATTATATTGTCAAATCTATGATTCAAATGAGTTTTATATATATATCTCAACATTTGTAAATTAGCATTCAAAGAGAAGTAACAATGTATACATCATATCCTTGGCTCATTATGTATCTACAATATATAAAATATGTCATATTCCAAATGTTTGAAATGACAGAAATAAAAAAATTGGATTACAAATAGTCTAATTATATACATATGAAACAATTCCGTTCAAAAATGTAATAAGATCCATACTTATAAAAAATAAAAATAATTAATGTCTAAGACTAAAATAACATAAGAACTCAATCAATTTTTTTTTCCAAATACAAGATCTCAAATGATGAGCTTGTAGATTTGAATGTATGATTTCTTCTAATGTTGTAAGTTTTGTATTTTCTGTAGCTGATGAGAACATAATCTGACATTTATGAATCAAATTGGAGTAATTTTAATTACTTGATTGCTAGCTATCATATGATAGATCATGTGAATCAACTTACAAGAAATAATGACCATTAATCATTAAACTTCATTACTGAGACTTCTAAGAAAAATTTGTCAAAGCAGCATTTTGAGGCTTTTATTAAATATAGTAAATTTGCAATGATCAAGATGATGTATAATTTTGATAAATTTTGCCATCAAATACTAACATCATACTTCTAGAATAGCTAAAAGTTGCTTTAGTTAGGTTATATTCATATAAAGGAACGTAATTCATAATGGCATATATATATATATACACATATATAGCATCAGATAGCATTGTTTGTCAACCTAAATCTTCACTTTTTACCACTTTGATATGAAGAGCATATACGTCTTTGATGACATGATGAAACCAAGATCTTTAGTTATAGGATATGACATTGCATCTATGCATTTTTTACAAGTTATATGTTTGTTTACAAATATGCATGAACATAGTTTTGGCATCTGTAATCAATTGTACGTTCTTTTACTATTTTTAATCTGCAATTCTTGATATTTCGATAATTCATGTGTATGTGAAATCTGAGGATATTTGATCATTTTTCGAAAACTATGAATTCAACTCGTACGAGATGCAAGAGACGTAAGGATGACTGAACATGGAGAATGTGTTGATATGCCTTGCATCAAAGTATGACTATACAAACAAATGCTTGGTTTACAATCATTAAGTTACCGTGATGATACTGACCTTGCATGCGAATAAGTTTCTATAGACCCGAACATTTTATTCCATCAATATGTGAAAAATCTTCTCTTTGTAATTTAAATTTCGGAGCTAATTTTTTAATAATTCTACAGGTTCTCAAGGAATTATGTGAGAGCCATATCATACAAGTAAGCTTGAATTATGATCTTATGTCAATTAGATATTTTATTGTGTTCTAGTCAATATGTCCTGCATTATGCTAAATGTAACACTAGCTGGTTATTTCCATAGTGGAGATTCAAAGTATATGATGATTCTTCTCATGCTGTATAAATGCTACTCTTTTATCTTATCTTTAGATTTTGCAGTTAATATTTCTAATCGTGACGCAATTGGGGAGCAGTACCATGTTAATAGATACGTGGGGCTGTTTCTTATGTTCTCCTTTTGTGTAAATTTTGATCTTTGACATCTTTGTCATATTTTGTATTCACCATCACGATGCTATTGAGTACTAGTCCCATGTTACTCGCTTGATGGGGTGAGTCCATCCAATTTGTTCGTTTATTGTGCATTTTTGTTACACCTTCTTCCAACGATGTATAGAATAAAGGGGTCGCTTTACAGAAACATGACCATAGTCAGACTGGACAAGATGTCCAGTCAAAGCTTACCCCACCCCCGGTTGCAAAGGTCAATTCCTCTGAATTATAGGAAGTTCGCTAAAGAGCCCGCGGTGAGGCTTCTGCCCTAAGAGAAAACAGTTCAAGTGAGTGTGTTTTTACAATCAGGCGACCACTCTGGGAAAGAAAGGAAGTCGCCAGTCTTTGTAGGTCGAGAGCTGTGGAGCCATTTTTCACACATCCCCCGTCCTGTCATCGCTCTCCCTGAAGGGGAAGAAGAAGAATTGGCAGATATGGAGGATCTGGAGAGCCTGCCAGAGGAGGACAAGCAGCGGATGGCAGCAATGATCGATCGTCTCCAAGTCAGCGATAGGTAATACCAACAGTTGTATGTATGTTGTGGAATGTTTCTGTGATCACTTTCTGTCTCTGTCCGAAGAAGAATTACTGTCAATTGTGTTCCTTCCCCGCCGCAATTTGACTGTTTTATGGTGTTAACTTCATCTTTCTTTTGCGATGACGACATTTGTATTTAGATGGACGTGTTAACGAAGGTTTGGTTTTTCGCAGCTTAAAGATGTACAACTCTTTGGTGGAGAGGTGCTTCAGCCATTGCATCGAAAATTTTCGACGTAAGACTCTGGACAAGCAAGAAGAGACGTGTGTGAAACGGTGTGCTGAGAAGTACTTGAAACATTCCATGCGGGTATCGATGAGATTTGCAGAGTTGAACCAGGGCAGCCCGACCCCCGACTGACAGATTTTCACTGTACACCATTCATTTCCGGCCTGTGGGATCGGATTCTGTCCAGCCAGTGGCCCATCTGTAGCAGCTGGTTTGAAGGAGAACTCGGATCCAAAGTGGTTGATTCCTACAGATTTGTTTGCCCTAGACATCTGCAATTTTGTAGTTGAAGGGCAGCTCTGGCTTCTTATCCGGAAAGCTTCCGGATCGTGGAAAGAATTTGACCTAGTCGAAAGAAGTAGGGTTTCTGTGAGCAAGTTGATTCATTAGGACAATTTTGATTGTACTCTGTTACGCAAGCCAATATTGCGGTTAAGATGTGCTTCGATGTATCCGTCGTCGTCAGTTTGTTTTGACGAATGCCGAGCCAAGGTCGTGCTGTCCGTGTTTGCTGATGATTGCTGCGAAAGTTCTGAATCGAAAACTTGACCACCTTAACGGATTCAAGAGGCCAGCTTCACTTAAGCTGGTTCAGGGTACTAACAGTCGTTGACAATCGTAGGTGTGCACTTTGGCGGATGGATGTAAAGGAAGTTGTGTCTATGACCGAAGCTATTCCTCGTCTGGGAGCACCTTCGGTGCTTCCAGAAGCTGTCTTTACGCTTCTTGACTTTCCACATGTAGCAGCATCGTATATACAACTCGTTAAAACATTTACCGAACACAGAAGTGCGGAACCTTCTTACTCATCAATAGTAACAGAACTTCCGATTTGTAGAGTTTAGGGTAATTTGTAATCAAAATTGCACGCTTTCTGCACGCTGCACGATCTATCAGGCTGCCGCATCATTTCATCCGTTCTGTGAAGTGTTTGTTCCGGCGGCTTTGGTACAAACCTAGTAATTCAGACTCTTCTGCTGTGAAGTGCGTTTAGGCGTTTTGATAAACCTAGTAACACAAGTTGCAGTTTGCGTAAGGAGCAATCTGTGTATGGAAGCCTTTTCCTGTACTGAAAGTCTTTCTGGCTAACTTAGGCCGTCCAAGCACAAAAGCTGAAGAACGAATGAGTAAGGAGGTGGTTGCAATGTTACTAAACGCGATGCGAGAGAGTTTTGTGAGGGAATCAATCGATAAGATCGACGGAACAGCAGAGATAACTAAGAAACCGGATCCACAATAGCAACAGATACCTCCTGTAGGTAGTTTGTTCTCGAGATATGTACATGGAGCACGACTTAACATGTTTTAATTCTCACAATCCGTACACCCTTTGTCACGCTTCTTTCACGCTTTCAATGATGTATCATCGAGTAGTAGGGAAATATTTCTCCGACAGAGTTGGCTTGCTTCGCTTAATTTGTCCTAAGAATGACATTAAGAGAGAATGTCGAATCTTTTACTAGACTTATTCAGCGATTTCTTCGAAAAATTCAAATCCATCAAATTCGAGAGATATGCCACAAGTATTTTTTATCACGATCCGTACTACACGACTGAGATCATTCGCACTCATACATAGTGAAAAATCGTTTTTTTCCAAAGAAGCAACAAATTGTTCGAATCATACACGACAAATTCCTGTCTGAGATATTCGATGTCACTGATGAGACGTGATCGTAGTACAGACTTGTGTTTGCTTTTGACATCTATCTTGTGTTGAGTACTATTTTCTCCAAGCGGGAAGGACTTCACAACAGAAGTAGAGTATTGTCATGTCACTCTTTCAGTACGATTGCGAGATGGAAATGTTTGACGAGTTCAAACGTGCCAAGCACGTTCAAACTGACGAGTGCATGGCACGTTTGATCTCTTCAACGTGCTTGGCACGTTGACTCAGTTCAACGTGCCAAGCACTACAAAATTTGCGTGACATCGGTACAGTTCAGAATCGGTTTATGACTAGGCTATGCTACCGAAACATTGTAATGTTGTGTTATTTGTGAAGCGTTTGACAAGTTTGCGGTATTATTGCGAGGGGTAAAATCCCAAAATGAGCTAGATAAGACATTGTGTCCATCTCCAGGAAACATGACCAGGGTAGTGCCCTTCTTCAACTTCTAACTCTTCTAGAACAACTCTGGACGCACAAAGGGGCTAGCCTGACATTAATGTTTGAGCATTTGAATATCAAAACGGATTCAGCTTAGACATGTCAACCAGTTGCTTTTACCACGGGCAGGTGAGCATTCATCAAGATGTTTTCTGTGCACTCTTTTAGCTTCATCGAACATCCAGGATATCTAGAAAATTGTCACAGCATAACTACTTCAACGACTGTCCAACCACCTGGTTGTTCGTACATCACTGAAAAAAAGGCAAACACCCTTCATCAAGCACACGGACAACGTCAAATATCCTTGGTCGTAAGCTCCGGCCGTCCACTCATGATCATGTGTGATGGGCTCACGAGGCGATAGCGAAACTCTGTACAATGAACAAAGTAGAAGGCGGGCTCGACTGAGAGATAACTTTATTTACAAAACAAGCACTCAAATTACCGCACCTTGCACTCATCCTCACACAGCTCAAGTGGGAGTGATTAAACTTCTGCATCTTTAAACATGACCTCTTCCCCAACATGTTGAACACATAGTGCTTCCGGTCCCTCCGCAACCTGCATCATGTCCATCATAATAAATGAGCTGATAGACTGAAGAATGTTTGGACTAAGCTCTCTTTCAGACAAATATGTCCACTATCTATCGGCAGCCTTTTGACAACTATTTGAGAGAGAAGTCTGCAGACAGTTACACAAACCACAATTATAATGACTCGAGCTTTGAGGGATCTTATAGATAAAACTCAACACCGCTTCAACTCTAGGCTCTTTCTCAGTGGAAGTTCATAATACTCTAGTTTCGAACAGGTCCGGGCCCTGTAAAGGCAAAGAAGTCTTCGGACCCATAAGCACGGAGTGCGCAGGGAGCGTGTTCGGGTGAGGGGCCTATAAAAGGAAGTAGAAAAAAAAAGAGACTAAACTCAGTTAATATAGAGAAAAAATCCTACGATAATCTTAGGACATACGGCGCGGACTAGGTCCAACGAGGGCAGAGGGTGTAGGAGCTTATGTTGTAGCAGTCTGCCAGACAAGTTCAAGTCTGCAGATAATGGCCTGAGAACCTTAATCCACTTATAAAAATACTCTCTGACGTCAAAGCATATGTCCGACAAGGTGTTGGAGTACCAAATATTGGTACTTTTCATTATCATCATAAACCTAGCAACATATTCCTCTCCTTAGGACCCAAGTACAGGACGTAAAGTGATATCGTTGACCGGTTCAGTCTCCTCTTAGATGATATTCCGACAGCGAAGATGACCTCACTTGCTCAACTTAGCCTCCAAATCATACTCTAATCACATAAAGACTTAATGGATCCAAATGAACAGTCTTAACCAAAAGGTCCAACGCTACTGAACAGAGAAATCTGAGAGACAGCACGTTGTTAACGCTGTTAATGACGGTGAACGTCACCAGGATCCACCCAGAGACTTAAAAATCTGTCGACCTTAGGGATCCAGCGATCTACATGATCAACTTACGCATCAGATTTTGTTCGGTACTTGAGCAGTGTCAGTATGTTATACCAGGAAAGTATGTTGTATAATACAACCATCTCACTGGTACATACACTCTAGAAGGTAAGCTTCCTAATCTGGGTCCACGCTGAGAGCTGAAGAAAAATCTGATCATATGCACTTTCATAAGGAGTTCAGTGAAGTGAAGTGAAGTGGACAGTCGTATCGTTCTGCTTATCGAATGGAAGCAAAGCAGTGACCTTCATAATATAGATTTGACCGAACAAATCACAAATTGATGCATTTTACGTTGCTCTATATCTAACTAACGTCAAACCCGGCGTGAAAGTAAGGTTCTACTGCTATTGGACCATGCATTACCAGTGAATGTAGGTAACTCGGGTCGATACTGATTCAACTTCATATCCATGGTTGCGAAGGGCTTACGGCTTATGGTTTTAGGGTTTAGGTGGGAAAGGTGCAAGAACTCCTCGAAGTAAAAATTTACTGATATTTTGATATTTCGGAATCAAGAAACGTGGACAAACATTCAGTGTTCCCTCAATGTTCTGTGATGCTCAAATTGTAAAACTTGGACGCAAATACAATAGACGTCGATGATACACCAAACTACTCTCTCTCTCTATGTAACACGTCTTTGGAAAGAGATAGATGAGGAAGAGACCGTACACGAGAGATCAACATAGTGAAAGACCATGGAAAATCTGTTTAGATTTTACGGAGTGATTGGAAAGCTTACCTAGGCATCTAACGCGGACAATGACTCCCTGGCTTTCCAGCACTGCGTCGACATATAATCCACTTCCCGCACAAGTCAAACATTCGACAGCTCCTTTTGCTTCACAATTGGTACACTTGGGTTTGTTCCCTACAGGCAAGGCTTTCGAAGGCAGACCAGTTGGTTTTTCAATCTTCTCTTCTGGGATTGACTTCCCACAGTAAAGTAAAGCCTCGAGCTTACTTCGATATTTGTCTACGTCGATCCCATTATTGGCACTGCCACTGGCCTGAATTTACGACAACAACTTCAACAATCAGAAAATTGATCTCTTGCAACTGCGCATCATGCTATAGATGGACAATACAACGTAAGATAAAGATAGACACAGAGCACTCACAGAATTCCAAAATATTGCTCGACTTGCGAGAGATTGGCGTTTGAACCTGGAGCAGCACAATCGTGTAGTAATGAGTCCATGCTTCTTCTTGCCCAAATTCTCTGTGGAGGTCTGCAGAGCATATCCTGCGTGAGAGATTCTGAAAATGACATCACTGTCAGGACAGATGGGTAGCGAAGACTGAGCAGAATACGCTACTGTATGTAGCTTCGGGCCCGCAAACATTACCGCGTTGGCCATTGCCTCCGAAGGTTTCTTAGATCAGAAATCAACCCGGCCACTAATTTTGTCCACCTCGAATCCCTGGAGACAATACCAGTCCGAACCAACGATCATAGGTTGCGTGTTGGTCTAGCAACTATGTCATCTACTAACCATTCGATAGACGGTCACGTATTTGGTGCCTCCTCATTCTCGACGATGTTGTCTCCCTAGCTTGATGAACATGCGCGCCATTCCACCAACCAACGACTATCCAGTACGCGATATTCGTCTGCGAAATTGCTGTTGTGAATCTACTAGAATCCAGAACATGTCCTTTCGCTTTTTCTCCCAATCTTCAGTTATTGGTATAAACCACGTCTAATTAGATCCAATTACTGCAGATAATTCCAACGATCAAGGCTCCAGCTGTAGGCGGGAAAAAGATGTGGGCAAAACATCAGTATCCGATCACATCAGCTATAAAATGAGGAGGAAAACAAGTTAAAGGCTGGATTTAGGAGAAATACAACGAAGAAGGTGCTCATTTGGACAGAACATTGTTGACAGCAATCCAATGAAAACAGATATTTCACCCTCTCACTCCCGACCACGATAAATATTGTTTATTATCTATAAACAGGAGCCCATTATATCTATATTATCTATCTATATATTATCAGTCTATATTATCTATGAACACAGCCCATTTCGTGTGGGTTGACCGCCCACTAGAATAGTTTCAAAGTCAAACTCAAATTGAATTATCTCTAAAACATTAATAAGAACGGTCAAGATTGCCATTAGCTGCATTCAAGCATGATTTTTGTATGCATCACATATTTTCTTGTGAAAGTTAACCCTCCATATAGGACTTTTACTCTTTAACCATGCCTTTTCAAAAAATATTGATACGCAAACAAGAGTAGCAACGATAGTTTTTAAAGGGAGTCATTTAACAACAATGGTAATGGTAATAGATCAAGCCCGGGGTCCCAAAGGGTCAAAAGGCTGAAAAACACAAGCGACAACCACAAACAAGGGAAAAGACCCCAAAGGCTAATGCCAAGAGCACTAGAACGATAACTAATAATGTACGTAATATAACAACCTAAATCAAAAGGAACTAACTGTAACAAAGAATAAAAATTCTCTACATCTATATTATGAGTCACTCTAATCTTTGTATATCTAGTACAAGTAAGAAATATATGCTCTTCATACTCAACTTCTCTTCCATCACATAGGTTACAAATACGTTCACTCCTATCAATATTAAACCAACGTCCTTACTCAATTCCAAGTCTATGAGATCCAGTTCTATGCCTAGCAATAATATGACGTAAGTATGTAGAGATTCCTGCAAGTAGGTAATACTGTTCACAATAAACAAACATAGGATTCACATGAAGTTGATAAAACTGCATCTTGGTGCCGCGCTTGCTCCAAATAATGTTCAGAAACTCCTCCTTTAGACGTTCACGTAGTGCTATAGGTTGTACGTCCCAATCGCGTTCCGTCACATTCCACCTCAAAGACCAAGTTATCACATCCGCTAACCATCCTTTGGCACGTGTGGCACTCAAAGCCTGAGGAGGAAGGCGAGAAGCATCAAGAGATCTCACCCTTGTGATATAAGTGATGGTCAAGTATAGAGCTTTAGCCTCTAGAGGTAAACAATCTGTTTCCGCAAGAAGAATAGCATATGAGGTATGGTTTCTCACACCCAATTCTTCTTGTAGAAATATCTTCTGCACCCTCTCCACACGCTCCCAACCTGTCTTCTTACAACCAGGACCCCACACTTGGGTTCCATACAATACTACCGGCAACACTAAGCTTCTGAATAAAAATTTCCTAAGACTCCAAGACACAAGATGAGCCCTTCTACACTGATTTAGCAATGAATATAGAGCTTTGTAACCACCTTCCACTCTCTTTTGCACACAAAGTGCCCAACTATAATCATTAGAAAAATCAATGTCTGGATATTTATAACTCTTCAACTCTTCTAATTGTAGATCCTGGTAATAGAAGAAAAACTTGGATCTAGTGCCCACCCACTATCATGACTTTGGACTTCTCTATATTTACCTCCATCTGATTCTGGGTACAAAAGCTAGCCAAAGTGTATAGGTGTTTCTGTAAACTAATTGCATCACGTGCTAGTAATATGATATCATCTGCATACAAGAAAGCTTTGATAACAAAGTTTCCAAGCTTGACAGCTTCACTATCACATGCCTCCAACCACTCTTCGATATCATCTATAAAAACTCCAAATAGAGTAGGAGAGAGAGGACAATCTTGAATCACTCCAATGGTACTCAAAACCTCTTTAGTTTGAGAAGTGTTGATCTTGGCTCGAACAGATTGGTAAAGCGTGGCCACAGCTGCTAGAAGATCTGATGGTACTCCAATGACCTGCAGCCTTTCCCATAATAGCTCACGAGGTACGGTGTCAAAAGCTTTCTTAAAATCAATGAAGGCGCAAAACAAAGCTTTGCCGTTGCCCTTTGACTTCTCCCATAAAACACGCAAAGCCAAGATATGGTCAATGGTGTTGTATGTGGGGCGAAAGCCTGCTTGAAACCGCGCTATCTTTCGATGAGATTCAGTCCATGTGCTCAACTTTGACTCCACCAATTTGCCAAACAACTTGGCAAAAACACTACCCACCATGATAGTGCGATAGTTTGTCACCAAGTACTTCCTTCCTGACTTGTGAATAGGCACAATCTTCCTTAATGACCAAGCTGAAGGAAAACCAGAAAAACCAAAAAAACTTCACCTTTGCTCTGATAATTGACAACATCTCCTATAAGTCGATGGAATGGTTGACTCCGATTGCAAGTGCGTGTGGAGTAGATAGGCATGAACAATGGTGCAAAGTAACAAACTGCCAAATAACTATAAGATACTCCAGCCAATCCAAGATATTGACCCCCAATATCCTGACCTTCTAGGTGTATAAGAGGTAGAAATTCAGATCTGATGAAAGTAGCAATACCGCCATAGCCTCTTCCTCCTCGTTGACTTCTATGATTCCAAGTGGATCCCACCAAAGTAAACCCTGGTATCTCTCCAATAGTGTTGCTCTCATGTTCCCACGTCTCCACAATGTTGATGATGTCAGCCATCTTCCAAATCGGATCAGCACTCACACATTTTGTTGAAGAAAGACCTCTAATATTCCACATTAACACCCTCAAGCTCTTGAATTGCTAGATTGATGATTGTCTCCTCCTCTGAGTGATAACAGCTTGACTATCACGTAGAAAAGCTACAAAACCTGCATCTTGAGCTTCTTTGATTTTTGCAAGCTCTTTTCTCCTTGCCTCTACTTGTAGAGGTGTGAGATTGGGATCTAACCAAATCCTTTGCACCTTGAGAACAACTTTATTAGCTAAAGCCGTATCACGTTGAGTTTGGTCATTGAACTTAACTATGATAGCTCGAGGTTGAGTTCCTATTGTTCCAATGCGAAAAGCTTGAGCCACATCCGGATTAGCAACATGAAGTGTTTGAGCCAAAAACTTGGTAACAATACTTTTCACCTCTTCCTTCTCAGATTCAAGTAGACCAGAAATCCTCACATTCTTTCTACGAGCAAATTGATTAGCCTTTTCAATCTCTTGCTCTTGACAGAAAGAGATATGAGCAAACTTGGTGGCTTCGGCATAAGACTTCATTTTCACCTCTAGACTTTCAACCACTTCATGGAAACTAGGTGTAGTAACAGTAGAAGCTTGGGAACCAACTTTCTCTTGGATGTATTCAACTAATCGAGATATTTCTAGCATGATCTTTTCAAAACCCTTGTGGGAAATCTTCAACTCTCGGATTTCATTCTTTGCAGCAATCAAAGCAACATTTTGTACCTTGAATTCTTGACGGAGCACTTGCAGTTCTTCTAAAACCGTTTGGAGAAGTTTTGCAAGGTTGTCTTGAGATGACATCTTGTATGGTTCACTGAAAAATCATATTCTCAAGTACAAACTACAACCTCCAGTTCTCAGAACTCCTTCAAACTCTTTCCTCATCCGTGGGTCTGAAACTTTCCAGGTGGTTCCGTCCAGCCGAGTGGAATGTGCCTGCAAAATTTCAGGTCGAGTTGCTACTCCAGTGCAAAGAATTTGCAAGCGCAAAATCTGTTCACCACAACCTCAAATCAAAGCTTCGACCCTGAGAACTGCTGCAAATCACCCCCGTTGGATCTGAAACTTTCCACGTGATTCCGTCCAGCCGAGTGGAATGTGCCTGCAAAATTTCAGGTCGAGTTGCTACTCCAGTGCAAAGAATTTGCAAGCGCAAAATCTGTTCACCACAACCTCAAATCAAAGCTCCGACCCTGAGAACTGCTGCAAATCACCGCCGTTGGGTCTAAAACTTTCCAGATGGTTTCGTCCAGCCGAGTGGAATGTGCCTGCAAAATCTCAGGTCGAGTTGCTACTCCAGTGCAAAGAATTTGCAAACGCAAAATCTGTTCACCACAACTTCAAATCAAAGCTCCGATCCTGAGAACTGCTACGAATCACCCCCGTTGGGTCTGAAACTTTCCAGGTGGTTCCGTCCAACCGAGAATAAGAATAAGAAAGAAGAGAATAAGAAAATATAAACCTTCACAAAACATTAAATGTTTCTAACCTTTTGAAGCAAACAAATTTTTTTTGTATAATGTTAGGAGCTAGCTCACCCCTTAGTTAATTGTGATCTAAACCCTAATTCCTCAACCGAAATGTATTATTGCATATAGTAAGTGTGAGTTACACCATTAGAGTTTCTGTAAACTAGCTCAACAAGGTAACCACGAATCTAGAATGTAGGCCTTGTCCATAATGTTTGTGTCTGGGATTTTATTTATTGATATCAAAGTGTATCTTAATTGATTTTGTATCAAAACTTGAAACCAAACATCCTTTTCTTTATATGTAGGCTTTGAATTTAAGGCTTCAACCCATTTGATTTTGTTTGAAGTCAAATTGACTTTTTTTTTCATATATTGAATTTTTTGTGCATATTGAATCTAACAACAATTTCATTGTGACTTTTAATACTAATGAAGTGATATCAAGTTTTAAAAAAATAAAAAATTTGATTTTAAGACTGGTTTTTTATATGGATTTCCAAACGTAGATATAAATTTGTGACTCCACAATTTTTACTTAAATTGCTAGCAAAATGATTGCAATCAAGTTTTATTAAAAAAAATGCATTATCGTTATCATATATGACACAAAACAATTCTTTCGTGATCTAATGAGATGATTCCTTGAAAGACATGTCTGCAATGGTGCAAAATTATATTTTATTGCAAAATACAATAAAAATTGAACGAATTCCTTACATCTCACTAAACATAATGCGTAGTAAAAATGAAGTTCTTGTATTGATTACTTGTGTGTAAAAATAGGATTTTTGAAACCTTTGTAATTTTATTGACTGAACCATAATTCTTGTGACATCGTGAGATTCAACTGATTATGTTTAGAATTTCCAAAAAACAATTTTTTTCTCTCGAATCTCATAAAAGCTAAGACTATGAGAAGCATAAAAAATACAATGAAAATTCATAAAAAATATATGCATGAAATGATTCAAAGCAAATTCAATCCACTAATTGAACTAAGAGATAGAATGATGTTGAAAGACAACAAAACGTTGAAACATAATTATAAGAAAAGTTGTATATATGATATAATAACAAAAAATAATGCTATATATGTACAAAAAATCTTTTTTTAAACTAATTAGTCTTAAGTAATGCTATAAAAAAATAAATTAAGTAAATTTATAATTGATATAGTAGTTAAATCACATTTTGCATTTAGACCTTTGAATTTGTGAAATTTTTCATTAAATTATGACTCAAAATATTGATGCAAAATGCTTACACCAAATATGAAATGTCTTTGATGTACTTTTTAATTTTCAAAATCTTGATGAAAACGTGAATAAAAAGAAAAAAACCTCTTGACCTACAATAAAAGTTAAGTTTTTATTTCACAAAAAAATATGTTATCTTCTCAATGATCGATTCCTTCAGTCACATCATCATTAAATATGAAGTGTAAAAATCAAAGCTAGATAATAAAAAATCATTTTTATTGAAATAGAATAATTCTATAGCAGGAGAAAAAACACATCCAAGATGCAATTTTGGTGTTTTTCAACTTATTTTATATCATAAAAATATAAATTTGTTTTTTGGATTATAGTCAAGATAAGATTTGTGCATAATTTTAGGCTGTTAAAAAAATTCATTTGGATGAAGAGTTGTCAAGAGACAAAAACCTTCGTTTATTTGGGATTTGATTCAAATTATTTGGCAGATTGTCACATATTACTTGCCCGTTCGCCACTTTGTTTTCAACAATTTTCACGATTGATCGGAGGCCGTAGCTCAACTGATTAAAAGTTGAGCAGCTTAGAGAAGAAAAAATTAATCTCAAAATATAACAATTAAAGTTTTTTTAAATCCACCATATTATTTTTGAGTAAAATTTTCAAATCTTGCTTGTTTATCTACAAACTATTATCATATGTATCATTGATCAAAATTCAACATGTAGGAAAAAAATGTATCAGTAAGTCTACAATATATTCCTTGACACAAACATAGAGCTTGTCAATTCCCACAGATGTAAAACTTCATCGTGCAATTTCATTCACCAATGCAATGTAATATTTGCGGCAACATTATGTAAAAATATTATGCTTCGTACAATAATTCATTGCTCTCTCCATTGACTGTCAATCGCATTCAAGCATTGCCACCACAATAACGATCATTAGTCAAAAGAAAGTTTAATCGATCCACTAACTATCATATGGTTTGAGGTTTATGCATATCAACCTTGTCATCAAGCAAATGTTGTCTGTACACTGCCAGTTTTACGTTTACATTGGAATGAAACAAATTCATGGATAACAACGTGAGCGTAAACATACAACAATAAAAAAAACTGGAAGTTAATTTGCACAATACTCTATGAAAGTTATCATAGAGTCCAACATCGAGATCATTGATTAATCTATGAAGCCTTTGATTCTCAATCCAAAAAAAAGTTATTCAAAAAAATGCATTTGTAGTTAATAATTTGTATTTTCATTATGATGCTAAAGAGTAGTTTAAGCAAAAAAATCTGGCGTTCAAGCAAAAAATTATTGATAATATCATTAACAAACTGTTTTTTGATCAGACTGACGATTTTTAAGCTCCAATAGCAAGGGTTTTGTACTTATTTCAACTCCAAAATGATGACGGTCAAACGATCACAATTAAAAATGTCTTTCATTTGGCCACCTCATAACTCTTTCATGGATTATTGTTCAGTCAGATTGTTGTAGTTCCACAATACATCAAGCAATTAATTGATGTTGGCGAGATAGTATATGTTTCACATGACATGAATTTAAATTTTACCCGCATTATTATCACAACTAATCTTTTTGTTATGCATGAAATCTTATAATTATAGTAAATTTAGACTTTTTTATAGACATTTGATTCATCAACCCACCATTATTTTTTGTATCTTGCCATCCGCGTTTGCTTTCAATTTAAGTATACTTTGCATCATCTTCATGTTTCAATGAATCATATGTTCAAATAGTATACAGATGCAAATATCTTCAATCTTATGATGACAATGTTGAATTCAATGTGTACATTTTGGCACCACAAATTGATTGATATTGCTTTTGATGACGCAAACATGATGATTGAAAGTATCGATGGTGTAGTCACAAAGCTTGAATATGAGGTATTGTTACATGTGCACATGACTTGGTCCATACTGCATCAAATGGATTTTGAAGCCAAAGTTTGTTTGAATGCATTATTTGACAAAAAAGTTTAAAACGATTGTAAACAAAATTGTAAACTCATGCGCGTATAACCATAAGATTCTCATTAGAGAAATGAATTGAATCAAATGTCGAAAGCTTCGTTGGCTTGAAATGGACAGATGAACTCATTGACAACTCTAACATTACGATCACCATTATGTTTTCTATCCACATGACGTTTACATCAAATGAGATCAAGATAGTGATATTTGCAAGTTGTCGCAGCAATATATGGATTGTTTGATTGCATCAACATCATTATAGGGAAGCTTTGAAGTCAAAATTTGCTAATGACAATATCCGTCAACTTATGAGTTGAAATCCGTCAACTTATCAAAAATCTCACACAGAAAACGGAAGTAGAAGGACTGCTTAGTCCGAAAGAAGTTACTCACGGTCTAAAATACATAACTAAAGAAAGCTGTACAATATCTACCGATTGTGTTACCAAATTTCTAGACGATCAAGGATTACTAATGCACAATATCATGAAGTCTCTTTCAAGCGATGTTGCTGTTGATGTGAAAGTAAAAATTTATGAGCTGATTGTTGGATTGATCGATGGTATTAGCCAAATCTGCAGATTGCAAGATTCTCAAAACAAGCCAATCAAAGAGTAATTTTCATACGTCTTGATTGCACATCTTGGTAAGCTCTGCAAAAGAGATTTATTGTCATTTGCAGCAATATCTTGATCAATTTTTACACATGATGAACCAAATCATCTCGGAGCTAATATAGCTTTTTAAAGCTTAACAAACCAATTTGATATTGAAAATTGCTCTTGATAAAAGAACAACTTGTCTTTTGAAAAAAATTAGAACATCTTTATTTTATTGTTACTCATGCTTGGTTCTTGCATGTCTAGATTTTTTCATACAAAGTGAAAATCAAAATATATTTTTCTCATACTTTCTACTTTTTTGAATTCATGCATGATATTCAATGCTTGAACCCTGAATATATAACATCAAAGTAGATACATTTCTTGATGCAAACTAAATCTATTACTTTATGACTTTTCCGAGTTTAATTTGTAATGATGTTGATGACAAGTTTTACATAGACTTATTCATGAATCTTTACTTCGAGTTTTTGGTAGCAATGCCAACAAAAAGTTGGTCCAACGGCTAATAATCTACACTTTGCATGTAGAAAGACTTTAATGAATGTTTTAATTTTTAGCCAACATCTAAGTCATACAATGCATAGAGAAGAGAAGATTGATAGAAGAATAATTAGAAGGGTTTTGAATTCATTCAAAACTGATTTGAACCACTTCATTCCAATTAAGCGAAAAGATCATATCTCTATATGTAATATTAGATACTTTTGTATATCAGGTTGAATATACCTGAGTAAACTCTTGTATGTTTTGTTACTTGTTAGTATTTGGATCAACACCCTTAATATACAATGATATGAAAATCATTGTAGTTTTTGTTAAATGTAATAAATCAGAAGAAATTACTTGATGGTAGCCCATATTTTCCACTTTACTTGATGAGACCCCCCTACTTCACTTCAGTTCATAGTCACTTATGTTTTCATTCCCGGAAGTTCAATAGTCAAAATTCCCATGGTTGCCAATCTCTCTCGAACGAGAATGATTTTAGGGGTTTAGGGTTTATCCATTTAGGGTAAACCCTAAACTCCTAAACCCCTAAACCCTAAACGGCACAATTTACTTACATTTTTCTACTCTTTTTTCTAAAACTCATGGCTGAAGTCACATTGGCTGTGTAGTTTGGTCAATGAATTCCCTGCTTTGAATACCTGAAGGTGACTCGTTGAAAACTAGGGTATAACTGAACTTCGGGAGAAGTCACTTTTCCAACAAAGAGCCTAACTGCTTTGTAAAAGCAGTTACAAGAACTTGTAGTAGAACATCGGTGCCGGTGTACTTCTTGCACTCTGTATGAGTAGATACACAAAGATTAATCTTACCTCTGCAAAGAATCGATCCAAAGCAATCACCACGAACGAACTTAGGAAGATGGTGAAAACTGAAAGCAGAAGGCTGCTCCAACTGAGTTGGAGTGACCATGTACTCAATTTACATCGGAAGTGTCCCATCAGATAAAATAGAACTTATTTGGACCCCAAAACTTCTGCATTCTGATGGGTCCCATCAAGTAATTCTCTCAATGAATCAAGAGACAGCATTTCGATTTACAGGTTAAATCTTTTTGAATAATTTTTTCAAGATACATTTTTTAGTTGCAATGATCAGATTAATCATCTAGCAAAACGTGTAACATTTGTCTAATGTAAACATTTCTTTTACAGTGTGACTTTTCACTTTTCACTTTTCAAATTTCTCCAGAATTTACTCCTAAATTTCAAACTGTATTAGCATGTCTACACCACTTGAGCCTGGTGGCTCTAAGGTCCAGCTCTTTCATACCTCGAACTTTCTCTAACTTAAAACTAGTAATTCATTAACAAGAATTCTCCAAATCCATTTTGTAGTTATGTGGAACCAGATCCCCCACTTCTAGTATTCGGAATTGTTTCTCAGGTGCTTCCACTGCAGCTCTAAGAGAAGTACTATCAAAGCTGATCCTTTGCAAAGTCTTCCTATAGCTCTCAACTGCATCTTCCGGGGCCCCCTTGGCTACGCATGCCTGTCGTGAATAGGAGAAGTCAGAAAACATGCTCGACGCAACAAAACTCCTACTTTTAAGTCACTAACCCAATTTTATAATAACTTCTGGCAAAATGCTGAAGCTCTTCCAATTTTGTTGACATGTTGATGTTCCAATAATAGTCTTATTGCAAACTCAAACAGCCAAGACTTACCCAATGATCATCATCCAGTTTATGAAGACAGAAAATCCAGTCTTCCTTCTCTTCACAGTCAATTCGTACACGGGCTACATCACTCCATATGTTTCCTGATGGATGGAAAAACTCTGCTCTCAGCAGATCAAATCCTAGCCCGATTCCAATAGCTTTAATATATGCTTCCTTCAGACACCACAATCTGTATCTTTTGTTTGTAAAATCAGATTGGATGACAATCCAGTAAATAACAACTCGGTCACATCATAGCATCATCAACAACTCTTTAAAGCAGGAAATCTATTGCTCAGGCTTACTCTGATCACTGATCATCGTGAGATATCGTGTCCTACTGAGAATTTTGCATCATTACGATAACTCAATTACAGGACGACACACACATCTATCTTTACTTAAACGAGACGCGGAAAGGCAGATGTTGGGGGATGTCATTCCAGCTCTTGATACCTGTAAAATTGATCAAATAAAGCGACGGATTTGGGTCCAGCGCTCATAACCATATTCCATTCAAAATCAGTGTAACAATTTTTGAAGGGCTCAAAAAAGGCTACGGGTAACTCCTCCCTCACTGGTTGATGAGTCATAACATCAACGCCAACAATACAGAGAGGCTCTGATGCCAAAACGACAAAATTGCCTTGGTGACTGACATTGAAGTTGAAATTTGGCATTTCACAGCAGTCAATTTGATTGGCCTGTCACGAATGAAATCCAAATACATTATATCAGCCGAGAGGGAGAGCAGCTGAAACACATATCCGCTGTTCGTAAATAGTGAAAACGCTAATATGTATGATTTGCTGCATGTTGGGTGAAACTGGAACTGGTTAACTTGGTTTACAAGGACCACGATAAACTCGATTTACAAGGCTACTACTTCAGATCTTCAGTAGAGCGTCGAGATTATGTTGCTTAAAGTCAATTTACAGCGATCACTGCGGTTGAAGCCGTTATCGGTGCAGTAAGGATTCATTCATACGGCCTTCTTATACGATTTATTTCACTTATATAACATTGAGGAGCGGAAGATACACACCAGGTAAGGCTTGCCTTCTCTTGTGCGCTCAATGACAATATCACCGTACTCAACGTCGAGGAGTGAGTGTACAAGCTTGCGCTGTAACAGTCTGCTTACCAGGGCTTTCTTTTTATCCTCAAACTTAACATACCTGTACCACCGCAGATACAAAGAACACAAGCTCAGCCGTGTTGCAACTAGATTTTTGTTAAAAATTCCTTAATCTACATCACATAGAACGATTTTTACATTTCGGGCTTTTCGTTGAATGTGCGCAGAGCCCTAGCAACCAGAGTTCATCGATGTGGGTTGAGCGACGACAAAGAATGTTACTAACTTTCACCTCAACACAAGGGGGCGCTCGGCAATAGGTAGCAGTCCAACAAATCCGGAGAATTGTGCTTCGGAAGGGCTCCACATACCAACGTTAACCGCCCACCTCTGCACCCCAGTTTCCATGACAGTATCTTGATGTTCCTTGCTAAGGCAAACACTTCACAGTTTTTTATATGCCTGAGACAAGTCATGGAGTTTGATAAGTTAACGCCAGCAGTATTCATCAAGGTCGTACTTACGGAGGAAGGAATCTACAATTTTGCCGAAGCGCAGATAAAGGGAAGGATTCCCTTCATGTGGGCTTCGGTCATACAACCATTTTGAAGAGTAGCTAAATTTGCAACTAGAGTCCGGACATTGCGGTGACTGACGTTTACTCCCCACTGTTCTCCCTTCTCACCTATCCAGATTCATGTCATAGCCGTAAACCGAAGCTTCAATTATATCCAGTATCCATCGCACGTGAAATGACTAGTTCTGAGTAAACTTTCAAAGCTGAGATTATTTAGATATGCGTTCACATGCTGGCCGACCCTATACCAGCTTCCTTATATTTCACAGCAACCCTCGAGGCGATGTTGTAGAATTGTGCCTGTTGGATTGTGGTAAAGACATCGTGCAATTGAGCGTTTTCCCAACACATTCTACACCTCGATGGAGCAAAGGATCTTCAAAAGCACCATGGATCGCGCCAAATGCAAAGTCTACCGAAGAAATGTGCTAAATTACCACAAGTTGTAAATCGTGAATCTTGTCATATAGTCACACTTTGCAGAGAATTACCTCGACATCATCTGTGGTCATATTCTCCATTTGGCATTGTACACTAAGCGCCTTAAAAGTATCCATAGATGGATCTAGGCTGTTTTTCCAATAAATGGTAAAATATCAAGCCCAAAGTGTCAAAAGACTTAAAAACACAATACAAGAAAAAAACCCTAAACAAGTTAAAACATTACATAGATCAATCCCTACCTACTGTCAAAAGCAAGAGAACTACAACTAATGATGTACCTAATATAACAACGTAAATCAAAAGCAACTAACGATAATGAAAAATAGAAATTCCCCACATCTGTATTATGAGCAAGCCTAACTGTACCCACTGTCACTTAACCTTCAAATATGTCACTCCTGTCAATATTAAGCCAACTTCCTTGCTTAATTCCAAACATATAAGATCCAAATCTATGTCTAACGATAATGTGACATAAGGACGTAGAGATTCCTGCAAGTAGTTATTCATGTTGACAATAAACAAACATAGGATTCACATGAAGTTGATAGAATTGCATTTTTATGATTTTGAAAAACTTCTTTCGTTTACTTCTGCGGAGTGCCATATGTTGCAGATCCTATTTGTAACTGTCACATTCAAACTCAAAGACCAAGTTATCACATGCGCTAATCATCCTTTGGAACATGTGGCACGCAAAGCTTGAAGAGTAAGTCAAGAAGTATCAAGATATCTCACACTTCTTATGTAAGTGATGGTCAAGTATAGATTTTCAGACTCTAGAAATAGACAACCGATTTCCACAAGAAGAATAGCATATAGAGTTTGGTTTTTTACATCCAATTCTTCTCTATTCACTAGGATTCCATATAATACTACTTGCAACACTAAGGTTTCAAATAAAAATTTCCTAAGACTCCAAGACACTAGATGAATCATTTTACAGCAATTTAAGAATGAATGTAGAGTTTTGTAACCACCTTCTACTCTCTTTTGTACACAAAGTGTCCAACTATAACCATTAGAAAAATCAATGCATATATATTTATAACTCTTCATCGTACTTGTAATATAAAGTAAAATTTAGATCTAGTGCCCACTATCATATCGATAGATTTTTCCATATTTATCTCCATTTGGTTGTGGATATAAAACCTAGCCAAAAAGTATAGGATTTATGTAAACTAATTGCATCATGTGCTAGTAATATGATATCATCTGCATACAAGAGACCTTTGATGACAACGTTTCTAAGCTTGACACCTTCACTATCACATGCTTCCAATCACTCTTAGGTATAATCTATGAAAAATTTAAATAGAGTAGGAGAGAGAGTACAACCTTGAATCACTTCAATGGTACTCAAAATATCTTCAATTTGAGAAGTGTTGATCTTGATCCGAACAAAATGATATAACATAGTCACGGCTGTTAGAACATTTGATGATACTCCAACGGCTTGCAACCTTTTTTCACCCTAGCTCACAAGATACAATGTAAAATTGATGAAAGCGTTGAACAAAGTTATCCATTGCACTTAGATTTTTTCATACAACACGCAAGACAAAGAGTCAACTAGTCGTCAACTAGCTTTGAATCGTTCGAGAGTGAATTCGTTCAGTTTGTGACTCGCATTCTTGATATGAAGATGAAGAGTTGTTTTCTTAAAATGAAAAAAAATGGATTGGAATTTGAAGACTAGAGATAAGAGGATGTAGTTGAACATGTTAGCAGATTCATGGAGAAAAAAATATGCTTAACTTTATATCTTTTCTCAAAAAAACTCTTGTACAAAGGAGGGAAGGGACATAAATTTGCAAGTATGGTAAGCTCATAGTATCAAGAGTTATGATTGCATATTTCAAAACAATGACAATTGGAAGAGTTTTTGTGTGAAAAGTATTAGCTCAGTCAAGTAAAGATGTAATGTTTTAAAGTTTATTCCGAAAGATTCAACATCCATGATTATGATGCTAACGCTATACTCTATGTAATGCTAAATGCAATTTTTGATGTTGTGTATGAAAATAGATCCAATTTTTTATCAACAAGTTTATATTCTTTAAAAATGAAAGTTCTATTGGAACTACAATAGACGCACAACTTTGTGAAGAAATATACTTGTAGAGTGGAGTTGGAACGGTAGGATAACATTAATTTTATCACTTTTGCTTGGTGATTTTTCACGCTCGAACTTTCTCTTGGTTTCAATTGTTTTAGCAGTTGGATATCAGATGACGTGTACTCTTATCTTGGATCTTTCACACGTAATTAACTTGTCTTGCTTGGTACTTCAACATTCTCGTGACGTTCGCAAAAATGGCTTGTCAATACTAGCTAGAACAATTTTGTAAGTTACATTGTGTAAAATCTTATAGATGTTGGTACGCAATAATTGACAATTATAAGACAAGATAACTAGTAAGAACACTAGTTTTCTATAAGTGTTACTGTGTCAATTGTCATGGAGCTCAACAAAAAATTGTAACCTTCACAAATTTACTACATCTACTTTTTACTCTTGAAGCTTCATTTTAGGGTTTCTATGAAGAGCAAATTCTTGAAGACTAAGCTGAAACTTGCGATACAATTTTAAGATCAAGTATATTTTCACCTTGTAAGTAGCTCGACTATTACATGCAAGCCAGAAGTGGGTAGCCATATCTGAAATGTAAAAAAAAAATATGTATAAACGTGAAAAGTAAAAGGTGTTTTAACTTTATTTTCAAAAACTATTAACATGATTAGCTTCAGCTGCAACTATTTATGTGACTTGTAATATTAATCTAGTGTGTCTAGAGAGTCATATTCTTAGTTTGAGCTAAGCTAGAGAGTAAGTTATTGTCTATAGAGACTAAAGTGACACTATGAATGTCACTTTAGTCATATTGATTAAAATAATCAGAATATTTTCAATTGATATGGATGATTTAGAGCTGTTTATAAGTACAACAAGAAATTGTAATTATCTTTTGTTAGTTGAAACTAAAGTAAAAGTTACCTAATATGAGATTGTAATTACCTTAGAATGCGCTAGTCATAGTTGTCACGTTATCAACTCATGTGCTTGGTAGGTAAAAAATAAGTGTTAGTTGAGAATAATATGTAAGCAATATGTGTGCTTGTTAGTTTAGGATTAAAAGTACTAGTTAGTGTATTTGTTGAAAGTGACAAATCTTAGACTTGATGACAATATGCTTATTGTCATGTCATCAATCCACAAGGAATGAAAAGCATGATGGGAAAGAGATATTATCTCATTGTATTTGTTGGTATGATCTATAAGGAAGTGTAACCATCTTTAGTTAGTTAGAACTAAAGTAGAGGTTACTCTGAATATTGATGTAGATACTTTAGTGTGCACTAGTCATAGCTGCCACGTCAGCGATCCGCGCACTTGGTAGGTACAGAGTGGATGTGTTAGTTGACAGTGCCACGTCAGCAATCCGTGTGCTTGTAGGTAAGGATTGAGTGTGTTAGTTAGTGTGTTAGTTGGGTGCGCCACGTCAGCGATCCGTGTGCTTGTTAGGGTTATCCGCCACGTCATCCATCCACTAGGAGTGGTATGGATGGTGGGGATTAGATCTTATCACCTTGTACTTGTTGGTGAGAGCTATATAAGGGAGAGGAGAACCATTGTTGGTATCTCTCATCTTCAGAGTTTACGTTTCTATCTTCGAGTGAAATTCTCTCTAAACCCTAGTGTTACAATGGTATCAGAGCGACCTTGCTCTTTCCTTGAGTGTGGATTACCCCTCATGGAATAGCAAGTGAGTGATGATGGAGTGTAGTCTTGAGAGTGTATAGAGGTTGGCAGAGGTCATTCATCTGCATGTAGAGAGAGGTGGAAGGGGGACATTGTGTTTTTGCAGATATGGACGGGATTGACAGGAATCCAGTACCGCACTGGCCAATTCCTAACCTATTCGATATTCACCTTCGTTGCATGGAGAAACATCATTTTCGGATGTACCTTGTGGCTTGTTGGGGTGCAGATTTTATGACTAGAGTGATGGAGTCAAGAGTGCCACTGATTCTTCCAATAGTTACTTATGGAGAGACTTGGGATTGTACTATATACATTCTATACTAATTGTTTCATGGATTTGAACCGCGAACCACCTGTCCTGGTTCGATTCAGCACTTATGTAGAGATTAGAACAGTATATAGACAGAAGAGGATATGGAGAGATTTTCTTGTGAGGAATTATGGAGAGGAGTACTATAGAGCTGTGATAGAGTCACCTGCACCTTTTGTGACTCCTTTGTTGAGAGGTCACATAATGATTATACTCACTTTGTATTAGAGGGAGTGTGAAAAAGCATGGGAACATCAATTGATATGGGTGAGGTTCTCAATGCAATCATGGCGGAGATGAAGGAGTTGAGAAAAGCGATAGTAGATGGGCATACC